GAGACACGATCAGCTGGAGCGACTCCTTTCCGCACGATCCGTCGACCAGTTAGCGAAGTCTCAGTTCACTGGCAGAGATTGCACTTCGGATTTGAGGATGCGTTAGTCGAAAGAGGCTTTCCTTGGTAGAGATATGTCGTCTCCTTGAAACACCTTTTCTGGGTGGTCGCTCGTCCTGATTCGCGGCGACGATTCACCTGCGAAAACCTGTCGCGATTAAAAGACTGCCGATCGAACGGAGAATAAACTTTCAGCAAATATTGCGACGTTGTTTTATATGGAATAAAATCCGGACAACAACGGGCAATTATTAATCAATTCGTATAGTATAGAATACCAATTCGCACACTTTATGAGCAATTTGTGATAAACGTAATTGTGTGTTAAAACTGATCGATTTTTAAATAAAATTTGAAGTCATTTAAACTAAAATCATTTGACAAGAAGTAAGTAGTTTTAAGGAGAAAATGTGGATTCAACGAAAGCTTCCAAATTACCTTTCGTTGATAAAAATCTGACTTTTGGAAGGTCGATACGATTGATCGAGTGAATTCTCGTTTAAATCCACGAGAACGCGACGAATCGATCAGTCTCGCTCGAGTGGAAAATTCGCGCACGTGATTGGACTAAACTGTCCCGCCTCGACATGACTTACATTCGGCCTATCCATAAATAAAGTGTCTAATTATAAATAGCGGCACATTCGGAGGAAATTACTTCGGGCGTTTATCTTTATTTACGCACGCTAAGTTTCTGTGTATTTCTCAAACATAAATTTGTCATGTGCTCCAGTCACCAATAAAATATTTAAAGTTTCGAGTCTGGAGAGGTGAAATAAGAGAAGAGAATTGCGCCGATTCGCTGGAAGATTCATCTGCGTGTTAAATCACCGTTCTCCGAGTAGATTTTCCGCACATAATAGAAAATTAATCGGACGCACGCTAAATTACTATTCACGGAGCACGGCGAGATGCCAAGGTATTTTTGGTACTCGCACATATATGCGACTTTTTTCCAAGGTCTAATATTACATCTGAAAGATGAACTTCATAAACACGCGAACATTGTCCGAAACTCGAATAAAGAATCTCTGACGTTTTCGACACGATCTCTTACAGAAGGAAAGCGTAATTCACAAAATCGCATCCGACTATAAACACGCAATTGCGTAAACGTTAATAATAAACACGGTGCGATAGAGTCGTGCGAAGTATATTCTGATTCCATGCATCTCGGTAACACGCGTGATAGGATGCAGAATGTCTGGTCACTGCATCAGAAAGTAGGAATCTCTACGATGTCAAATCGTGCTCTCTCTTTCTGTTCCCAACAAAAATTATACAACGTCGAAGCTGTGAGAAATCATGGTTTTCTTCCCACTTATGCGTACAAAAATGTGCCATCGCGTTCTTTGAGATATATTGCACAGCGACATTCCGGTTGATGTGCAATTAGTGTGTTTGTACATATCGTTATCTATAATTATCTATGAAAGTCGTTAGGACGAGTGGTAATGTTAGAACATAATTTTTTTATCTCAGCACTCCAAAGTCAAGAACAAGGTTCGCAACGCCACTTCATTCGAGTAGGCCTACAACTCGGAGCTGTCATCGAGTTAAAAAATTTCAACTGTGCCTTCTTACGTATTCCCTCTCTACGTGTACCGAAACGTGGGTTATGTGTAAATATAAGCGTGCGTAACAGATAATTTCTTTCCCATATATTCCCTAATATTCCGAAAATTCACTTCGCACCATCGGCAAAATATCGATTATTTAAGTCCGCAGTAAAACCAATGCATGAACGAACTCGTTTCAAAACCCGAAACAAAATTCGAAAAATTCGAAACGAGGAAAATACGCCACTTTCTGGACGAACTTTCCGAGCGCTCGATGTTCCAATCACGAAAGTGCAAGGAAAAATTATCACACCACATGCACAAAAACATCGGTAACATTTTTTACCTCGCACGTTCGAGCGATCCTCTATCAACGGTCCACGATAAACTACTCTCGACGAGGAGTCGCCACGGTGCTACAGCGCTCCTCCGTGCCGCTTAAAATTCTCCCCGCGCCACCGTTCTCCGAAAGCAAGTTGCACCCGCGATTAGCGAATGGCGGGCGAATTACGAACCGGTCGCGGGCGGAGTATAAACGAATCGTGAATGTGTTTGCGAGCATATTGTCAACAAAGACACAATTCGCGCACGCGAATTAACACGAATCTGCAAACGCGAACCTTTTCCTTGGACAGTGAGACATGCGAAATTCATTGTCGAGATGAAAATTTTTTTAAATTAATATATATGATCCTGTAACGATGGAGAGAAAAGGAAACACTTTGCGACTTGACAAAATTATCTCGGCACGTCTGAAAAAAAGTACAATAAATTTTTACACCTTTTTAAGGCAATTTTACCTCAAGCTTACGATTACCGATGACGATAAACAACGTTCTCTCGAACATTTAGAAGGACAAAGTAATGCAATATCATACACAAAGAAAGAATTTCAGTTCGTGTAACAAAATAGGGATCAGAAGGAAATTCGATAAAGATACAATATCTCTGTTACGAGTCAGGATAAATTCATCTAAATATTGTCAACTGCGTTAAAACTTTGTTGATATAAATATTTAACTAAATAGAAATCTCCCACAAAAGACTTCCTGTTCCTACAACCGAATTATTATATATCCTATCTGGTCCCTCGACAATAGAAGACCGCTCATACGAATCGAGTTTCCTTCCCGCGCAGTATATGCCGCCGAGATGGGGAAATGAATAAATTCGAGATTTCGAAGAAGAGACAACGAGAGAACGAAGAAAGAACGAAGGAACAACCGACGTAATTTCCCACCGATAAAAAGACGCGACTCACCAAACTCGTTTACTCCATCATTATTATTATCATCATTATTATTATCTTATTCTTATTTATCATCTTATTTTACCATCGCACCTCGATCACCGTTTCCTTCTACCTGCGCGTCGTGGCGCGAAATGACGTCGGTTGTCTCATAAATGAAAAGAGAAAGGAAGAAAGATCAACTAATCAATCGCTAACCGTGATTATCGATGTGATTGGGGGGATCCCCGAGTGTCACACCGGGGCTCGTCACACGCACCGTCACCGTCGGGTTGGCGATATCCGGATCGCGGAGCGGCGCGACGCTGGCTCGATCGCAGCGGTTCGCAGACGATTACTGACGTTTACCGCCGCTAACCGGGAGACGAACACGCCGAAAGAAGTTACTCGGACTCGTCAACTTGTCCGAGAATAGTACGCGCCTCCCTCGCCACCCCCTGCGAGAGCGAGGGGCAGGGGGTCGGTCTATATATATACACACACACGCATCGGGCCCCCGGTCGTCCCCCCGAGGCGGACGCGCGTGTGGAAAGAACGGGTTTATATTCGTATATGAAGGAAACAAAAGTGAAACAGATCGTGCCCGCTGGCTGGCGTGACACTGACGAGAGGAAACTTAAACGGTCATTGTTAGACGCCACCGCGCATCGCCGAGGTACAACCCCGGTGATATTCAATTTCGCTTGTTCCAACGGTTTCGCCTCCAGGCACTTCCTCGCTCCCCGGGAGGAAGCGAGTCGCGTTTCACCGCGAGATCCCGCTTGGATGTGAGATCGCACGGTTCGACGCTCGGACGGAACGAGTGTTTCGAACGACGCGAGATCGAAAGGCACCCGGAAGATAGGGAATCGTCTCTTCGACGATTGTGTCGTATCTGAGATGTGCCCACGGCATCATGTATTGTCTCACGCGAGAGGGTTACACGATTTGGAGCTTACTCTACGTAAAGTCGAGAATTTCACAAGTAACTCTAATCATATGTTCCCGATTATATCGGTTCAGACTTGAAAGTGAACAATTTTGCGTTAAATTTAAAACACCTCACACGTGTCTCAGACGATCCGCACACATTTTTGTGTTGGCTCAACATAAAATTTTTTACCATGCATGACGCCGTGGTTTGTACATGAGAATCGACGCCATCCTATTGAGAGATGTATTGTTTTTATAAAAAGACTTTCCGAAATGTTCAGGTGGTGAGAGAGATTGGTCTAACTCTTGAGAATTTTACTTTTGAATGAAAAATATAAGATTTTTCTCCGGTCTCCTGAACATTTTTACATTTTACATCACGCCTGTCGGTCGATCAATCTATCTATCTATCTATAAAAAGTGCGACCCACAAACGCGCGCCTTCCGAAAGGTAGACAGAGTCGCCGGAAAGCGCTTGTGTGTCGCGTTGGAGTCTTATGCTAAAAATCGTTGCCCATATATGGGCCGTTCTCTCGACGTGACGGGCGAGCGTTACGTTGCAGCGCGTACAACACGCTCGAAGCGAGTTACCGCTTAGCTCTCCGCCGAAAGAATCTCTACTTATAAAGACGCGGCGACCATACACGGCCAAAAGTCGTCAAGTACGCGCTCGCTCCTCCTCCCTTTCATTGCGCCACGCGCGATCTCTGCCTTGAACCTTGAGCGAGCAGGACTCGACGGCAGTCTTTGATACATTCAACATTTCGAGGAACGCGCGCTCCGGCATAATTCGGAGATCGATTGTCAGGCACTTCTTGATTATTTCGATGGAATGCACGGTTGGGTTGGAAGAAAATTCACAGCCTTAAGGAGTTCTAAGTTGTTCTCCTGCTGACGTTACTTGAAATTTTCGATAAGAATCATACATGCATTCGAAAGTCTCGAGAGAAATCTTACGTATGTCTGATCCTGCAGAAACATGTAACGAACTAAAATGCACAATAATGCTTTACAGATGGTATTCTATACGTTGTAAGAATTTATACAAATTAGAAATATGACCTGAATCGTTTGCTCATTCTCTCGAGGCGTATCTCTGAAAAGTCGCAGCGTGTGAACTGAATATTCAACGAAATTAAATGATTTACAGCATAAATGGCAAAACTGATCGAAACTCGCATACGGCAAAAAGCTGAAAGAAGAAATAACGGAAAAAAGAAATAAAGTAGAATATACATTTATTATTTTTTTCTTCTTCCAATATAAATCGTTCCATATTCATCTAAAAAAATAAATGTATTTACAAAATTAAAGGAGCATGTACATACAGGATAACTTAGTGATGCCGCCACTGCAATTGAATGATACAATTCTTTGTGTTTGGGATTTAACGGCGATCTGTGGGAATGAGTTAAAATTAACTGCGTAACAAATTAATCGACATAAATTATAATGAAATATTACAAGTGGGTCAAATTCGGAATTCGACATGCTATATCTTTCAAAATACAACAGAACAGACCTACAAAACAAAGCACTCTCATGCCGGGATCCGATGGCAAAACGTAATGTATACAAATTCTTATAAAAATACAACAAATATTATGTCAAAAATTAGCATAAATGCTAATGCTTCCCTGATTAACACGGAAGTATTTGATTATATCTTATAAAAATAGTATATATGATATTCCCACCTCCCACTTTACGAATCGTGTGTTTTGTACGGAGTTATTGCTCCTTTACATTAAAATTAAAGTTTTCCAGTCTTGAATAAGTATAAGTTGACAACGCGCATCATCCCATCGACACGATTACGCTTTCACAGATTTTACCGCTTTTTTTGCCGCTTCGTCTAAGTTATTCGCCGTGAGAATGGGTAATCCCGAATCGGCTAAAACTTTTTTGGCTTCTGTCACGTTAGTGCCTATAAAAAATGCAAAAGAGCCAATAGAAGATACGTAAAATTTATCGTAAGCTGTATCGCGCAAAATAACATACAAACGAAAATAGATAAAAATTATATGAAATTATACAATTAAAGAAGGAAACTTATGAGAATCAAGCTTTCTGTTATGTGTACATATGAGAGGAAAGAGAAGAAATTGAGATATCTTACCTTCTAGTCTCACTATGAGAGGTATCTGAAGACCTAAGTTACGCGACGCCGTAATAATTCCTTTCGCTATTGTTGCGCAATTCACGATACCTCCGAAGACGTTAACGAAAATAACTTTGACTTTTGGATCTGAGAAAAGGAAAAAAGTCCGTTCGTATCTCATCTCATTTATATTTAAATTAATAATTTTGCACGTTACATACCTTCACTGAGTATTCTAAATGCCTGGAAAACTTGGTCCTCTCTTACGTTACCGCCAACATCCAGAAAGTTAGCAGGCGATCCCCCATTTAGCTTGATGATATCCATTGTGGCCATGGCTAAGCCAGCTCCATTTACTGTACATACGAAATACAACGAGATTCATTAAGCATATTTTCATCCGTTAATTACATTATTTCTATATTAATATTTTTGTAGAGGAGAAGCTATATGAATGATGATACATTAATATGCAGGATGAAACACACAACGTGATCAGCTTAGTCTATTCTGCTGTTAGTGGACGACTGAAAATTTTTTTTTATTTAGTATAACATAGTTCGAGGTGAGCTTTAAGATGATTACATTAAATTTACAATATACAAATATACAATTTTTAATCGGTCCACCAACAGCAGAATAAACTAAGCTGATCACGTTGCGTGGTTCATCCTGAGAATAATACGCACATTGTTACTCCACAATTTCTTATTCGTTCATATCATATTATCATAACATGCGTTATTTTATTTATTTACTATAATAGATAATGAAATGTGTTTTACCCAAACATCCTATGTTGCCATCCATGCCGATGTAGTTCAGGTTGAAGCGCGACGCGTCCACCTCACGGGGATCTTTCTCACTAACGTCTTCCAGGGCGAACAGATTTTGTTGTCTGAATTGAGCATTGTCGTCGAACGCGATTTTCGCGTCCACTGCTATCACTTGCTTGTCTTTCGTCTCCACGAACGGATTAATCTCAACTTGCAGAGCGTCGATGTCCACGAACAGCTTCCACAAATTCTTCAATTCGTACATGGCTTTCTTGAGGATATCGGGATCGGAAAACCCCAGGAAGACGCTTACATCCTTCGCTATTTCGTCATCAATCCCGTAATAGATGTCCAACGGGACGGTTTTGATCTGCTCAGGGTTCTTTTCCGCCACGGTCTCGATATCCATACCGCCAGCGGGAGATGCTATCAGCACCGGGCCGTTGTATTCCCGATCCATGAGAATACAGACGTAAGTTTCGCGCACGATATCTACCGACTCGGCGATCATGATTTTCTGCACCGGTATGCCTTCCTTCGAGGTCTGCTTAGTAATGAGCCGATGGCCGAGCATGTTTTTTACGTAATTTGAGACAGCATTGCGACTGTTAAGAAGCCAAGGAAAAAAGGAGTTACACAAATGTATTGCCAGTCGCAAATAACATAAGAAAACATCACACAAACGAGACAAAATTTTGTCGTTGTATGTGACGTATCTTGCAATATCTATGAAAAAAAATTCCCAGTATACTTACTCTCTGGTGAGGTGTACACCTCCTTTAAATCCATTGTCGAACCAGCCTTTACCACGACCTCCAGCTAAGACTTGGGCCTTAATAACATATTCACCCTCATCTGTATGCACACAAATATGAATAGATTGATATCTTCAAACCATTGATGTATATTCTTCTCAACAATAGTTTCCAAAGCTTAATGTAATAAACATAATGTAGCATGATCTCATCATGTATATGTACACATATTCAAGAATAAATGCAATATGTTGTTTGCAACTCCCATGTTGTTCAAACTCTAGGCAAATGAAGTACAATCATGTTAACAATTACTCTCACTTCTTATCTCTGAGATATATATAGCCTAGTTGTTTGATCTAACTAGGAACTAGGTAATTTATGAATCTTCTTCTCTAGCATGGACTCATGAAAAGCGAACACTTGCGAATGCTTCAAAAAAGTTCTAAAAATTGAAAAAATTGAAAAAATTTCCCTTCACGAGCTGACATTAGAGGAAAAAATGTATGATCGACCCTCAAAAATAATTTAATAAGCATATTAACACATATAGATACTTTTTAACAGAAAATTGCTCATCCTGAAAATTTGGTTTGCTTTTTTGCTGCACTGCTGAACCAGTGCAATAAGTTAGAGAAGAAGATAAAATATACTTATCTCACTCTAACTTATTGCACCGATTCAGTAGCACAGCTAAAAAGAACAGACCAATTGTACACGATGTGAACATATCTCATTACAAATCAATATAAATATATAAATAGAGAAAAAGAAAAAAAAACACGCTCGAAAACTCACGCAGCTTCTCCAGAGCGGAATTCGTCTTGGTTAAGTCATCGACGATGGCGAAGTTTTGTACCGATACGCCGCACTCACGCAGAAGTTCCTTGCTCTGGTACTCCAGCAAATTTAAGTTCCTCGTGCTCGACACGCAAACAGCTTCCGTGCTCCTCCTGAGCAGATGCGACGAGCGGATAGAACGGCTGAGAACTCGCAACATAACTGATAACCTGCAAAAAGTCCGACTGTACCAAGAAGAACCGAGACCGAAAAAAGGAAAAAAAGTAACTGAAGCAGCTGTTGCTATCGCATGTTAGCAAGTTAACAGGTGTTGACTTATAGATTACTCATAACTAATCGCATACCGTCGAGAAACAGTACTTTCACAATTGATTCTTGCCGAATATCATTATTTTACCTACGGAAAGTTCTGACGAGACCTGTTCTATCCAGCTGAACTTTTTGCACTGGTACAATATATCAGTACCCGCAAAATTTAACTTAGGATCTGTGAATGCAGTTCAATTTCTGATGATAATGTTATTTAATAAATATAAATAAGTACAAGTGTGATAAGTAAATTAAAAATAAAAACATCATTTTTTTCAATCACAACAGTAATAAGTCACAGTAATGGTTCAAGAAGATATATATATATATATATATATATATATTATAGAAAAATATAATTATATATATAATTTTTTATATTTAATTTATATATCTATATTTTGCTTGTATATGCAAGATAGGAAGCAAATAGTTGTAGCAACACACAAATACATTTCTGTGTTTTATTATAATAAATTATATAAAATAAAATACAGCACAATTGCATCTTTTTCTTATCAAAGAAACGAACGTTGCAATTTTCCAGTTTCTAACACCTAAATAAAATGTTCCACGGTAATGGTCAAAAAGATGATTGCAGACAATTGCAGCGGTCACTTCTTATCACAAAAGCGCAATAGCTGTGATGTAATCTTCTAAATAATAATGCTATATTATATACCTGGATATACATGGACGGACCATTGTGTCGATTAATGTACATTATATATATACCTTAACGACAAATATAATTTTCTCGTAAGAAATTCGCGTACATTTTCTTACTATTTTATCAGAGATCTCCACCTCCTTTATCTACTCAGATCTAATTGTAACCACATATTTATTGCTGCATGTATCCTTGCTGTCTGAAATCGCGTTTAAGTATTGTAACAACTTTATCAATGTGACATTTGTTTTTGGCAGATTGACAGACGAAGCTGCTTTTCTCTTACATAATATAATAATATAACATATATTCTTATATATAGAGAAGGTGGTATTATGGCCTCCAATTTACATTTTACAATGTACAGCAACTTTGTTAATAACCAATATTTTAAATTGAAAACTTAACGATTACATTCATCAGTGTTGTTAAATCGATTCCAAACTCCGAGTTATGAAATGTTGATTACTTAGGACATTATTTGGAAAAATATAACGGCATAATGCATGATGGGTTGAAGAAAAATATATATAGCAGTAGCTATATATATATATTAGAAGAATATATATAGAAGTAGCTATATATATAGCAATAGCAGAGATATTAACACTTTGCGATCCGCGGCCACACCCGTAGACGCTTGACTAAAATGTTTGAACTTATCGAATACATAATACGAAATTAGCCGCGCTTATTTGGTTTTTTCTCATACAAATGTTGATATCTAAAATCATCATATGTTTCGATTTATCGATAAAACCAATGCTGTCAGATCGTGACGGCACAGTGCTGTCGACGGACCGCATCATCGAAATAAATACGACATAAAGTGTTAATGGGCGACATAATACCATCTTCTTCTTTAATATTTACTTTTTTGTTAACTGATTTAACAAATGTGTGTACCAAAATAAATGTTAAATGCAAAATTTCATATCATCTTTAAACGTTACATTCAATGAGTCGTCTGATTTTATCTTTCGAGTACACCATAAAATATTGTGAAGTCGTACAACTCTTGAGTTACGAATCAAAAACTCGACAATCTTGTTGTTAAGAAACGTGCATAATTAAAATGCGCTTGAAAATGCTTGAAATTATACTTAATCTTATTACGCGCTATAATACGTGTTATTCTACAATACTTAATTGCGCTTACAAAATTTTACGAAACTAATGAAATGCTATTGTTAAAATGCGACAGTGTACAGAAATATACTATTGCATCCTATTATTTTATGTACACAATAATAAGACATTATGTATTGTTCATGTGTTATTACTATTACTACGTGCCAAAAAAGCTATAACAGAGTATTCTTTCTGTCGTATAAAAACAAAACTTGCTCTCACAAATAATCACGAAAACTGTGTTGTACTCAACTCGAAAGCAGATCGATTTCAGTCTTGTTAGACTCATAGTACCATGATTCTTCTTTAAAAAGAAAAAAAAAAAAACTTTAAAAAATCGTGGAAGTACTTAAAATGTCGAGAGGTATCGTTATTAAGACGCCGGGAAAGCAGATGCGCCATTGACGGGCCAATGATGCGGCGATATTAACCATACATAAAAGTACTTGAACAGACCGTAAGATTTGACCGACGATCTTGACAGACTGGCAAGACGAATCCGCAATATTCCGCTAAATCTTATTTTGATGATTCTTTTCAATGAATTACGTCAATTCCTTCCAACTTTCCCGTTTTACGAACACTGTACAAAATTTACCGTTTTATATATATATATATAATTCATATAGCTTAGAAATTATTGTATGGCTATTTTGTATGTGTGTGTGTGTGTGTGTTACGACTGTACATACATATTATACTATACAGAGCCGTAAATCCGTAAGAGCAATAATAAAGAAATCCCAAGGAGGGCTGTACTCAGAAACAAGGTTCCGGCGTTGCTTCTAAAGGCGGCTGTGTCACCCATTTGGAATGTGTGCGTCGGACTGGACATTCGGCCGTCGCCGCCGTTGCTGAATGCGAGGACTCGCAAGTTATAGATCTTGCCCGGGCTCAGGTCCTTGATGTCTGCTTCCAGCTTCGAACCGCTGGGTATTATAGTGTCGTTCGCGGTGCTCATATCGCGATCCAGGTCCCATACTCGAATCTTGTACCCTATCAGTGGCTCCTCCTCTAAACTGGGTTGCACATAGCGCCAGACGACTCTTACCGTCGACGGGTTCACGCCGTACACGTTCACCGAGGACGGCGGCTTCTGCGGCGCTTTGCGATACGTTCTCTCCAGGTACCGTTCGCTCTCCGGACCCTCCCCGGCGGTGTTGTAAGCCATCACCTTCGCAGAATTCTCAATCTTCTTCATCTAATCTCACTTAAGTAGATTATGAGGCGAAATAAGTTCGATGGGAATTCGAATGAATCTTGCACTACGTGTACACTGAAATATTATCTAACTGCTCCAGCAATTAGGAAGAGATTGACCATTCGAGAACGGAGATATTTTCTTCGGAGCGATTAGACACGTTTTTTACACGCGTTTCTTGGGATTAGCGTACTATCTTTTTAACTTCTATTTTTAATATCTTTTAAACCGAAAAACAAGATTTTCATGAAAACCTACTATGATATTAAAGACTAATATGCAGACATTATACATAATTTTCAGACACAACAATAAATTAAAGAATTGTTGACTATTTTGTTTTGAAAATACAGAGATATAAAGTTTATAGCAATACCCGGAATACATATAAACCTATTTAAATACTTATATACTTACATACCTCTTTCTGTGTATTTCTATTAAATCAACTGATGCAAAAATATAACATTAATATCTCAAAAATAAAATATCTCTCAAATCTGATAGATGTTCTCAAATAGATGCAGAAGCGAAATAGGAAGAAGAAAAAGATCTATATAGTTTCTTCGACGTACCTTTACGTAATAATAAGTATCCGGTTGCAAACCGACGACCAGTGCCCAAGGCCGTGTGGTGCGCGACAAGTAGTAGACGGCACCCTCTTCGGGGAAGTCTTTCTTCCAATACTTGATTCTGTGGCCGATCAAATTGCCTCGTACGTAGTGACGAGTCTGGTTGATCGGCGACCAGCTGACGTTCAAGCTGGTGCTGTTGTAGCCGACGGCAACGACCAACTGTGGCGCGACTTGCGGCATGTCTTCCGCGCTGTATACTGTATGTATTTCTGAAATGGGACCCTCGCCCAACGAATTGATCGCTTGCACCTTTACTTCGTATTCGGTATAAAAATATTCCCGATCGATCCGCACGACACTCATGCCGGTGCTGAACTTCTCCAGCAACGACGACCGGAACTCCTTCTCGTGTCCCTTGCGACGCCAAAATATCTTGTAATAAATCCCAGGACCGTTCTGGTCGGGCGGACTGAGGAGGTCCCACGTGATCGTAAGGTCACCGCTCTTTCCGCCACCACCGCTGATATTCGACGGTACTTTATTGGGCTTGTCGGGAGGAGTGCTGTACTGAGGTGACTCAGCCGACGGTTGCCCGTAACCGTACTCGTTGAAAGCCAACACGCGGAACTCGTACGTAGAGTAAGGGTTCAAGACGTTTTCCAAGCGCGCTTCTTTACGACCGTTGTACCTGTCCGTCTCGATGGCTTTAATATCTGAAAATGATACGTTTCCATAAAAATTTTGCACGCGAAAATATGACGAGAAACTTTAAGAGCGCCTTTAAAACGGATGTATCCAAGGAATCGTAAAGAGAATTACTGAAAATAATATATATTATAACGAGAATCACTGAGATAATCTCTGTGAAGGAACAATGATAATTAATGATATAAGCAGGATTTAGTGAGTTAATACTTTTTAAACTCAGCAATTACCTAAACCAAAACTAATTAAAAGTTAATGTCAAGTTAACTTATCAAAGTTAAAATTTAATCATGTAAACCTGTGTGTGCGTACACACACACACACACACACACACACACACACACACACACACACACACACACACACACGCACGCTTTTTTGTATAATTAACTTTTTAATCGTAGACTAATTTTATGTAAAATAAAGAAAGAGTAGTCCATTGATAAGAAAATACCGGAATGTTTCGTGGATTCCATATAATAAAAGAACAAAATAGCATTCAAAGAGACAAAAAAGATTCTGCTAGCATTATTTTTTATTTTTCTTATTCTATGTTATATAAACAGCTCGCGATGATTTTAATACCGATGAATTATTTTAACTAATATAAAAGTCAGTTAAAGTTGACGTACTTTAAACTAGTTTGAGTTAAAAGCTAACTCGTTAAAAATTACCTAAATTAAAATTTATTAACTTTTTAACTTAACTTTTAACTAAGTAATTAGTTATTAACGAACTCTGGATATAAGTAATAATCGAAGAGCAAGAGTCGACTTACTTTCTGCAAGAGTAACCCATGTATGATTCCAACTCGTTCGGCCCTGAATTGCATACATGGTTATCGGTCTGCCATTTAGCGCGCCGTCAGTCCACCGTAACACGACGCTAGTTTTCACAATGTTCATAACCTGTACTCCACCGGGTGGTCCTGGCGGGCCTTGCACGATCAGCTCGGTCTTACTAGTTATTTCACCAATGGCGCTTTTCAAAACGCATTCGTAATTGCCCGCCTCGCTGAAAGTTGCGTTTATAATATCAAGATATTCGCCATCGATATGTATTCGCGGATTGCTGAACAAGTCTTTGTTACGAATACGCATGCCATTATGTTTCCAGACATATGCCACATCCAACATCTCATCTGTATGGCCCAAGCATCGCAAAGTCCGATTCTGATTGTAGGACATGACTATCTTTGGTGGCAATTCTTCGATAAATTGCGGTTTACCTGTACAAACAATTTTTACACAATCAGTCTCACTGGAAAAATCTCTCAGAGGTTATTTTATCTTATAATGTAGTTATATATACAAGGTTTCCTGTAATTCATGAAATATCGCTTGTGTGCAAGCAGAAGGGGTTAAACTGAGCAGAAAAGTGCTCAATCAGTTTGCAAGCAACACAAATTTCTGAGTTATTAATTAAAGAAGGCCTTTTTATATGATCATTTTTAATTATCAGTAACTCGAAATTTTGCGTGATTTACAAAATAGTAGAGGATTTTTCTGCTCAGTTTAAGCTATTCTATCCGTACACAAGCGATGTCCCACGAATTACTGAACGTATAGTTAATTTCTTGTATGTAACAATATATATAATATATAATGGAATCGTCCAAACTTTATAAAATTTTTACGAGATTTTAAATGTGTATAAATCATAAAAATACACGGGAGAGTAAAAAGCTTTTCCAACATTTACGAGCCAATATACAAATAGCAAATGCGAAAAGGAGTATTATGATTAAAAACTGCTGCATACAAATCAAAGGATATCTAAAATATCAAGTGATCGACGCACTTAATACAATTAGCCGCCCACGAGTCTCGTCGCTGCCATACTCATTAGTCGCCGTACACACGTAGGTCCCCTCATCATCTCTCGACACTGGACTAATGATAAGGTTGCCTATTTCCAGAATTCTTCGCCTACCACCCGACCCGATTACGTTTCCATCTTTCTTCCAGACGAATGTCGGCCTGGGCGCGGCCTCGGGTTTGCACACGATCGTAACGTTACCCGATTCTGCCGCATACGTCTCGGATTCCATAGGCCGCTTTTTGAAAGACGGTTTAAATGCTGAAGAATCGAAGAAGATAAACGATAATTCTTCATTTGCGCTACGATGAAATACCAAAAAGAACAGAAAGGCTCACATAATACTCTCAGTTGCGCCGACGAATAAGTTGTCTCCAGCTGATTCTTCGCGCAACACTGATACATAGCTGGATCCCTCTCGGGGTCGAGATGTTTTATATTTAACACATTATCCCGTATAGTGTAGCGATCTCTGTCTCGAGGCGGTAGAGTTAACATGTCCAAGGGTTCTCCGTTTCTGAACCAAGTATAGGTGACGTCCGGTATGCCAAAGGCCTCGCAGGTCCAAGTCAGATCCCCTCTGTTATCCATGTATTTGTCGGTCAACGGGATGGTGAAGTTAGGCTGCGCTTGTATGGTCAGTTGAACGGAATTCTCGATTGACAATCTGTCGTTATTCACGCGGCAAACGTATTCGCCCTGGTCCTCCACATTTACTTGCGGTATTATTAACACTCGATTGTAACTCCTCATTTGGACTTTGCGTGGTAAAGCGGAGCCCCTTCTCGTCCAGTTATACGATGGGACAGGGCTGCAGGCGTATATCAATTATTACAATCACAAGAGTTTACGTGTGTGCAAGTAGAAAGAAAATGTTAAACGCGAAAAATCGAGTTCCTTCAAATATTTGATATATCAGCAATGAGGGATAAATCGTCGTCTACAATAAATGCTTTAAGTTCTAAGCCTTAAGAAATTGACCAATCACAGCCGATTATTCTCCTCACATTCGACTGTAATTGGTCAATTTCTTAAGACTTAGAGCTTAAAGCACTTATTGTGGACCCGGACTAAAAGTACAGTGAGTTTACTCAAACTTACTATCCAAACGCGATGCATTCCAGCCTAACTTCCTCTCCAGCTATCGGTGCCTCCGGAAACACTTTTGGGAAATTGTTGGGAAACTTCAATTGCTGAAACGAGGCTGTAAAAAAAAAAATGGATAACGTTACTTGTTATTCTACTTGTTAAATATATACATATAAAAGATATTTATTGGGATAATTACAGTGCGTATCCACTTTCAACGGGAAAAACGGCCCGTTTCGTCCCATATTGGATGCGATGCTTTGAACATTGCACGAATAAGTTCCTTGGTCAATCGTTTCCAACGCGGAGAAGTAAAGAGCACCATCGTTCGAGACAAACACACGCTTGTCCTCTTCGACGAAATTAGGGAAGAAATCGCGATTCCAATAGAATTTCACTTCAGGAAAATGCTTCGGTGGATCGCAATACACGACTTTACCCCAATGATTATCACCATGTTCTTCGGAACGTTTCAAATTGAACTCGTGAATATACCCAAACAAGAGTTTGATACTCTCAGATATAATTGTGCCAAATTTGTTGGACACCTTGCAGTGGTATGAGCCACGATCCATTTGCTGTAAAGAACATACATATATATACAAACATACATATATAATTAATAGATAACAATATATAACAATATATAACAATATAATTACTGTTAATAACGTTAGTAAAATAGTTTATAATATATGTAATATATAAAATAGTTTATGTGTTCAATAATATGTAATTCAGTAGACACTTTCAGTTTACAATAATCAAGAAGAAACATGAAAAAAATCTCTACCTGTTCTGGCTCATAGATGATCAATGTTCCACCACTCACGGTATATCTTCTATTTAAAAGAGGATCAATTTTTGTTGCAATAAGTCTATCATTTTCATATTCTTCCTTGAACCATTCATAAGTCGGTGTGGGATAGCCTCCTGCTAGACAGCTCAATTGGATATTATTATTTACCCGTCTGTTCAATGTGTCAAATATTTTGGTTACAGGTTTTTTAATAAAATATGGTCCTCTGGGTATTTGAAGGGGATTATCAATCTCGATACCATATTGATAAGTACGCTCATCCTCTATCAAATTGCGAAGAGTCGTAACAGATGCTTCACAAATATATAAAAACTCCTCTTTGCCCATAACCTTTTCCAATCCCCAACGTTGGAGATTGTTACTGTAAGAGTATACTAAGTAGTCCCTTCCTATTATATTGTCATTGGGCTCGGGCAAGAAGGTATTATCCAAGTTTATCAAGGATGTACCGTCAGCCTCGTTCACCCATATACCACTCTGTAGTTTTATACCGGTATACCATCTGCGATGCTGCGGGTCTTGCCACAGCAATTGATGGACTATAAACCCATGCTCTTCCACTGTGTTAATGGCAAGCAGGTCACTTTCAAATGCTTGGCAATTCCTGCGAGCGTCCTCTCGTGGTCTCAGCGGACTCTTGATAAAACGATAGCATGACTCTTGGAATTTTACCCAATACTGAGGACACTCATAAAGTTGTTCTCCGTAAAAAGTATTTTGTGCATGTATAGGCAGTGATAAGACTAGGGAAAACACTGCGGCACTTAGTAAATAAAACATCTTGAGGACATTCTGCAATAATAAAAAGATTTTTTAAGTTTTGAAAAATTATAAAACAAAACATTGTTATTAATACTGAATATAGTATCGTTATCCAGCATGTAACTACGGGAAAGAAGAAAACAAATAATTATGGGGCAACTGACAAACTTTACAAGCTTCCTTTCTGATAATGTTAATTTACTTTTACAACCTCACACATATAAGTCTAAATATATTATTACAATTCGCACAATCTCTATTTATATTCAATAGATCATTTTTCTCCTTCAATATTAGTTATTTTACGAACAAATTGCTGGAATTCTATTCAAATTCAGCTCTCCAGAGACACTCCTCTAGTGGCCATTTTGTTGACATGTGCCGCCAGTTCATTTTGTAACGTTATAACCCGATCAAAACATCCACCCGGGATGAACGAGAAGATTCGAGCGGAATTAATATACTCACTATAACTCATACGATGAAACTGGCGAATTAAGCTCTTCGAACGAGTGGAAATAAAAAGTGCGAAACGAAAGCACGAGAGTAGCACTACAGACGCGACGCTACATCGCCGGACACTCCCCGTGACGAACGATGACGGAGTTCGACGAATACTGACGAAGCAATTGAGTGTGTGTACATACTTGCACGCATAGCATATTTACATGTGTGATCATTGATGCATACGGAATACGTAAGATCTTTTCTCGGATCGCACGCACACACGTATAAGTAGAAATGTGCACATGACTCACTCGATGCTTAACGAAGGATAATCAACACGTAATCAATGGGACCTCCATGGGTATGGGTAAATTTTTTACTGTGTAATGCATTAACTGCATATATGGAAGAGGGAGCGAGAGAGAAAGGGAGAAAGAGAGAGAGAAAAAGAGAGAGAGAGAGAGAGTTTATTGACGAATTGAAGTGGCAATACGACTCAATGACAAATCAGACGAATCTTTATTTTTTAGTAACACGATCGAACATTTGTATGGGGGTGAAATGAGCTTTTCTCTCTGCTAATATTGCGAAATAAAAGTCTATTAGGGAAAGAAAATTCTACAAAACTTATTTTATACTTCTTTTAGTTGACTTTTTTACTTCTATGAATTTTATCCGTAACAAGCGTAGTATATCATTTGTAGTTGGAGCGTTTGTTTGTGATAACAATCTAAATGAAAATCACAAATGTGATGTAAAATTATTCAAATGCCTTAAAGCTTGTTCACTTATAATGTTTTCAATTTCCACCGCTATGTGTCGTTAACGCTACCTAAACAAAAGATATGGTCGCCGGTCTGTGTTGCGTATCGATGATGGTGACTCGCAAATCGTCTTGAGTGATTTGGTTGGTTCTAACCTGGAAGACTGTAAAATCTAAAGGAAAACCGTGTTTCTGTTTCGTGTACTCATTGAAAAGATATCCGAATAAAATGCCGGAGAGTACCAAAACGGAAGTGAAACCGGTCAAGGAGGTGAAGAATGGGAAGGAAGACGACAAAAATGAGCTGGTGAGATATTAACCTACATAGTACTTAACAGTTGACATTGCCTCATTATTGTTGAAAGAGGCATTCTGATTAATTCAATTTATATTCGTAATACTCTTCCTATGTTTTAATACGAAATTAAGTAATTCATATTTTTATAATTTACTTCACAGTTACATATTTCTAAACAATATCCACCTCTTGTTATCATTTATCTTGCTTTTCTCATTAGATAATGTGTTAATTTTGTTAAGCTTTGTGATTACTTTTATTCTGTGAAACGTAATAAAATACGCAAAAATGCTTGAGAACCTGTATCAATTAACTTAAAATAGTAACATATATTTCAACAAGGAAACATCATTTTTCTTCTTTCATTTTGTCTTTGTTTTTATTTTTCTCATTTATTTCTCATACTATATAGCTCCTATTATTTTGACATTTCCTTTATGTATTTCTTCTTTTTGTATGTTCCAGCAAGATATCATTCTACAACCTAATAAATTAGTTTTCCATTGTATGTGAAAAAACTGTCCCCTTTTTCAGTCTGAAGAGGACAAGCTTCTGCAGGAGGAATTAACCCTGCTGGTGGAACGTCTGCAAGATGCCAATACCAAACTGCATTATCCTGCTCTAGAGTCCTTGCGCTCGCACATCCGTGCGTCGACGACATCAATGACCAGTGTCCCAAAGCCCCTGAAGTTTATGCGACCTCATTATGACACTATGAAAAGTATCTACGAGAAAATATCCAACATAAAAAGCAAGGAATTATGTTCCGACATTATCTCAGTCCTAGCCATGACCATGGGCGAAGGTCGAGAGTGTTTGAAGTATAGACTGACAGGCTCGGCATTGGCTATCGGTGAATGGGGGCATGAGTACGTTAGACATTTATCGGGAGAATTGGCAGGGGAATGGGACGAAGTGACGACGGGTGATGTAGAGGCGACGAGCAAGAAGCTGATTGCTCTGGTGCACGAGATCGTGCCGTACAATATGGCGCACAATGCGGAGACGGAGGCGTGCGATCTGCTGATGGAGATCGAGAGGCTCGATCTGCTAGAACAATACGTCGACGAAAGCGCGTATCAACGAGTGTGTCTTTATCTTACGAGCTGCGTACCCTACGTAGCCGATCCGGAAAACAGCACTCTTTTGCATGTCGCCTGCAAGTTGTACCGCAAATTCGGCCAATATCCTCAAGCGATCAGACTGGCGATGCAATTGAATGATTTACCACTCATCGAATCCATATTCACAAACTGTAGGGACCTGTAAGTATGATCTTTTGTAAAACTCTTAATACATAATTATATATATATATATATATTCAATTCTGTTTAATATATCCAACAAATCTCTCAGAACGTGTCTGCTTTTTCATATGGAAAGACATAGGATTCAATATAGGAAATTTTAATTATAATAGATTATCTATGGTTCGAAATACTTTTAATAATTTCATTGGCATGTTTTACATTTTATTGCTTATTTTCTACGTGTCATTATTAAGTACTTTTGATCTTACTTTTTTTAATATTATTAGTTTTTATCTTTCTTACGTGTATAATTTTATAGTACCTAGTTGTGTACTAAAGGGATAATTTATTTTCCGTTAATAGACAAACAAATAAGTATTCGAAACTTTCAGTTGAAATCACCCGATATACACACACCATCGATCGTTATTCGTGTTTCCCGGAGCTAAGGAAACTAAAAAAAGAAACACCACGTATGCTTTCCAGTTCCGTACAGAAGCAGCTGGCCTTCATGCTGGGCCGCCAGCAAATCTTCTTGGAGTTGCACGAAGCTACGATAGAGGATGACGATCTCTTCGAAATCATGTCCAACGCCCACTTGAATAATCACTTCCTGAATCTGGCGCGTGAATTGGACATAATGGAGCCGAAGACACCTGAGGACGTGTACAAGTCTCATCTGGAGAACTCCCGGCCGCCTTTCGGCGGCGGCCAGGTCGACTCGGCGCGGCAGAATCTCGCGGCGAGCTTCGTGAATGGCTTCGTGAATGCCGCTTTCGGCCAGGACAAGCTGCTGATCGAGGACGGCAACAAGTGGCTGTACAAAAACAAAGAACACGGCATGCTGAGCGCGACCGCGTCGCTCGGCTTGATTCTACTGTGGGACGTCGATGGTGGCCTGACGCCGATAGACAAGTACTTGTATTCCTCGGAGGATTACATCAAGTCCGGCGCTCTGTTGGCTTGCGGTATCGTCAATTGCGGTGTCAGAAACGAGTGCGATCCTGCTCTGGCTCTGCTGTCCGACTACGTGCTGCACAGCAGCAACACGATGCGCATCGGCGCGATCGTCGGCCTCGGCATCGCTTACGCCGGCTCCAACCGGGAGGCCGTCCTGGCCCTGCTCACGCCGGTCCTCAATGACGCCAAGTCGAGTTGGGAGGTGTTGGGTATGACCGGTCTGGCCTTGGGGATGGTCGCTGCCGGCTCGTGCAACGCCTACGTCACCACGGCGATCATGCACACTCTGATGGATAAGTCGGAGTCGGATCTCAAAGACACTTACGCGCGTTTCTTGGCGCTAGGCCTCGGCCTGTGCTTCTTGGGCAAGCAGGAGGCGGCGGAGGCGATCATAGCGGCGTTGGAAATCGTCCACGAGCCGTTCAGATCGATGTCCACGACGCTGGTGGAGGTGTGCGCCTACGCCGGCACCGGGAACGTCCTCAAGATACAGCATCTGCTGCACATCTGCTCGGAACACTACGAACCGAGCAACGAGAAGGAGGAGAAGAGCGAGCGCAAGGATAAGGAGAAGAAAGAGGAGAAAAAGGAGGAGAAGGAGAAGGATCTTAGCTCGAGGCAGGCTATCGCCGTCCTCGGCATCGCCCTGATCGCTATGGGCGAGGAGATCGGCGCCGAGATGGCGTACAGAACCTTCGGGCACCTACTGCGCTACTGCGAGCCCGTGATACGGCGCTCGGTGCCGCTCGCCCTGGGCCTCATCTCCGTGTCGAATCCGAAGCTGAACATCCTGGACACGCTGTCCAAGTTCTCGCACGACAGCGACCCTGAAGTGGCGCACAACGCGATATTCGCCATGGGCCTGGTCGGCGCCGGCACGAACAACGCGCGCCTGGCCGCCATGCTGAGACAGCTGGCACAGTTCCACGCGAAGGATCCCAACAATCTCTTCATGGTGCGCATAGCGCAAGGCTTGACGCATCTCGGCAAAGGCACGCTCACCCTCTCGCCTTACCACAGCGACAGGCAATTGCTGAGTCCCGTTGCTCTCGCTGGCCTCCTGTCGACGCTCATCGGCTTCTTGGATGTGAAGAACAGTGAGTACACGCTTGACGCATCGTTTCTACCAGTGCGTTGCTTGTTTCCTTCGCGTGTATCAATTAGTATCCGGTAGGGTTGTGTAAGTTGACTTTTATTCAGCCTCTTTCTTATCCATCCTATGGAATATCAAACTCTTGCTCCTCTTATAATCAAACCGAAATCTTGTAACTGCCCCTGCGACGATTGAATGTTGACCGTTTAAAGTCTTCATGCTTGCAGTTGCAGAAGTTCTGAAACCTTAAGCGGGGTCCACAATGAGAATTTAAGGCGTAAGATTTAAGAAATTCACCAATCATAACTGATTTTTCTTTTATAGTTCGACTGTGACCCCGCCTTAAGTTTTTAGTTTTGCATTCTTAAGTACTTAAATCAGTGATTTTTAAGATTCTTATATTTTCAGGTATCTAGATTTGCCATCCTCAAAGTTGTAGGAATTCAGCATTCGTTGTACTATAGGATTCACTCTGCTACTAATGTTATTAATATTCTTTCTTTTAGTTATCCTTGGACGCTCTCACTACCTCTTGTATACGCTGGCAGCTGCGATGCAGCCTAGAATGTTGGTCACATTCGACGAGGAACTAAATCCGCTGGCAGTTCCGGTGAGAGTCGGGCTTGCCGTCGACGTAGTCGGCCAAGCAGGTAAACCGAAGACCATCACCGGCTTTCAGACGCACACCACTCCCGTACTGCTAGCATACGGTGAGAGGGCGGAACTCGCCACGGAAGAATACGTACCCCTGACGCCGATCATGGAGGGTTTCGTTATACTAAGAAAAAACCCGGACTTCATACCTTAGTCGTGATATTTCTCTTGTTCGCCAATGTACCTCGTACTAAGTTACTTACTAAGAACTGAAATTTAATAAAACATACGTCAGTGTTCCCTTTGCATATGTGAAAGAACGTCTTTGAAATACATACACTTACAAACATCCTTTCTCACGTCCTTTCTGTAGGATTATAAAGCGTGTCCTACGATTTCTCGTTACGTTACACATGCTGTAAGGAAAGTGTTTTTTTTATTTAATAATAAAATATTGGTTTTAATAGCAAAAAATACTGATACAATGTATAAAATTTCATTACACGTTTCTCATCAGGAATTTTTGTATGTACGCAGTACATATAAAAAAGAAGGACACAAAACGTTGCATTGCATTCTTGGCGTTAATACATCGATAAAAGTTAGCTATTTTTTTGTAAGTACCAGTCAGGAGTATGTATTTATATATCGTGTGCGCATCTGTTATAAAGCACATCCTAATGTTTTTATTGATAATTAAGGCTCCGAAGTAATCGCTATGACTGTCCTTGTTCAATGATATCACAGGCAAAAAAAAACACATACCAGAATTTTTTGCGTTATACGTTGCTTCTAAACAAGGACAGTCACAGCGACTACCGGAATCTTAAGAATCGTATAAAAAAGACAACGTCCTTACTATTATCATGTCTATGAACATGCACATGAATGCATATATCGTATATCAATAAATCAATATCCTAATAATAGGACTTTAGGTAAATTTTAATTTTTTTTATTAACCTTTGTAAAAGCTCGTATTATAGCAACCAAAAATAATGTAACTTTCGTTCGTCGCATAATTTAATTTTAATAATGTGTCTATAAAAAATACATGGATTATTTATATATATATATATTCACATTATTACTATCATATTGTATATATATATATATATATATATATATCATAAAAATATTTAAACATCACGATATGCCGATACGATCGGCTCGTATCCTGTATTGATAGCGTAATCAGCCTCACGTCAATAAAAGTCATTACAACTTACACACCGATGTGTGATATATTGACTCCCATTGATCTACTGTTTCTCAATAATTCTACTGTGATAATCGCCATGTGCAATGATGAAATTACGATTTCTTTTCGAAATTTCTCCTCGAAAATCTGATGCTTAAATAAAATCATAGATCATATAAATAGGTGATACGCGTAGATTCTCTATGGTCCACATTCTAACGGCACATTTATGCGCTAAACGTAGCCATCCGATTCTCCAAGTCCTACCTATTTTACGTGAAAGTCACGTGTAACGTAACTCCAGGGCTTGAGAATCAAGAACACGCATCTAGTAAACGTGCGATCAAAATACGGATCTGTATGTACAATTTTCAAAAATTACTCGACACCGCTCACAAAGTTCTGTTCGCGTTTTGGCACTCGTTAATCGTTTGAACCATGATAAGTAAGTACACGCTGTGTAAAGACAAAGGATAAGAGCGAAAAGTGAAAAGTTTCTAAGAATAAGTCATGGAATTGTGACAAACCGCCAGCAGTCTTATAATTCTATCATAAAAAAAGGAAAAGAAAAGACTTAAAGACAAATTAAACCTCACTTTTGTTTTATACTATTATCGTAGACTGAATTATACTTAAAAAAATGTATACACACTTTCATACTTGTATATTTATATTTATATGTACTTGATATTTGCGATTTCAGTGCTTCGCGTTATCTGCAGCGCGTGGACCAGAACGGTGATCTGTTTGAAAACAGGCGTTGACAAACAAACATTATTTCTGTAGATTCTTTTAAATTTTGAAAATGAACCGTATGTTAATGGACGCTGATCTTATAATCATTCAGCGTGTGTATACATTTTTTTTTTAGGCATCTTGTATATGTATTGTGATTCTCTCAAAATACCACGCGATACGTGATGGCAATATTTCAGGCAGTGAATCAACGTTTACTCGCTCCGACGAAAATAAGAACAAGTTGCTACCACTGGCACTAACATTTCACGTTAACGTCGTTTCTCTATACTCAACAATAACAACGATATACTCTCTCTCTCTCTCTCTCTCTCTCTCTCTCTCTCTCTCTCTCGTGTAAACCTCTCTCGACTTGCACAATTATGATTGTATAGCACCTATATCTGAATATATCATTAGTATACTCGCTAACCTCGTCACATTAAAATACTACTTGGTAAGCTGCAATATTTAATCGTAATAAAATAGTATGTTTTTACACAATCTCAAAGTCATATGCGATTAGAATTCTGTAGATAACTCGTTCTGAGGTAATTATCTACTAAGTGTAAACGTACTTTTAAGTCCCTTGCTCGACATAGCTACTTATATCGTCTCTCACGAAACTCTCACAACTCGTAAACCGTTAGCAGCACTTACGGATGTCTTCAGTATCGATAGGTATATATATAGTTTACAAAAGTTAAAAATGCTCTTTTAAGCTCGTCAATATGGAAAGATCTATGCTTACCGCTTACTGTGACAGAAACTATACAGACAATTCCGTGATCAAATGTAACGTGAAATATTATTCTCTTATATTATACTAGAACGACGTTTCTGATATCCTCGTTGAGAGGTCGAGCAATATCGCCTCGTATGCGATGAAAAATATATTTTTGCGCTCGGTTCTTATTCAGAACACATTTAGTCATCAAACACGGTAAAAATATTTCCTCGAACGTACATCTGTTGTCTTAACACGTTCGCTACCACCGTCACAGATGTGCGTATTATTTGTCAGTTTATGATAACGTATTGCGATAAATTTGGAAATGAACAGTATTGTTGAACTAAAAAACAATAAAATAGATGTAGAATGTCTTTGGTCTAGAGATAATTACATTTTTATGTTATAAATATATCCTAAAAAAATCCATCTCGATTAGGGACATATTCTAACAAAAACACCCTGGGCTGTGGTGCAAGATTTTCTTCTCAAACTCTGGTAGCAAACGTGTTAAACAATCCGTTGTACAATGTGAGGGATAAATAAATACACGATTAAAAGGAAACTCAGCGGTCGAAATTATCCCGGCCAATCGTTCTAATGTTACAAGATGCGTATCGCTTTAACCCTTATATTTTAAGATTGCAAGGAGAAAAGATGACGCAACTTCAGCAGGAGACGGAACGCTAAAGTTTGGTCTACAATGTGCTCTCTCTGCGTCTTGTTTCTTGCTCTCTATTTCTTTTCCATGAGTAAACAAAAGTTCTTACAGAAGAAAGATAGAGAGCAAGAAACAAAGATGCAAAGGGCATATCGTAGATCAAGCTTGAAGCTGGACGTACAATGTAATCGCACGGTCATTCGAGTCGATCCAGTCAATTTCCAATTTCAACGGCGCTGCGATCAATCCGAAGGGCAGCGATCTTACGGACTTACGACTACCAGCAATCGAACTGTAGATCCAGCTTAAGACTGAGCAACGCTTCGAGGATCTCGCGCATGTGTCTCTCTCTCTCTCTCTCTCTCTCTCTCTCTCTCTCTCTCTCTCTCTCTCAAATTAATGGCAGTTTCAGCTTCGCTAACAGTAGTTTGTCTCCATGTTACGATGGACGGTCACAGGCGCTAAGACGTGATGAGGCGAGCCCAAGTACGTCGTAGGGGAAGGCATTCCAGTAGAGGACTGTCTGTTCAAATCTGGCTCCACGTTGTTGCCCACTACCAGCAGAGGTTCCACGAACGTCTGCTGCTCGGAGTCGTCGTGCGGCGTCATGGTGCTGTAACCGTGATCGCTGTCTCCGCCGGGCGGTCTTCTGTAGTTCGTGGAGACCCTGTACGGGGACACCGGCGCGACACTGTCCCTCGTGAGGCAGTCCAAGTTGTTCTTGACTTGGTCCAATTCCGTCGGCTCCGGATCGCCCTCAATATGCGTCATGCGCAACGTGTCGGGCGAGGTGTGCAGGTGCAAACACTGGTGCTCGACGCCTGAGTGCACCGATCGCAGCCTGTAGCAGAACAGGATGACGCCCAGGATCAGAACCAGGGCGAAGACTCCGCCGGCCACCGGCCCAACCGACGGACTTCGTGTCGCGACATCATCCGCCGATTGTGAATCTGGAAGAGCGTATTTTCACGTTGGAACGGCTGCTGAGAAACGAACGGAGAGAAAGTAGAGTTAACTCACTGTAGCTGCCGTCGTTGTAAGGTATCAAGGAGCCGAACACTCCCTTGAAGCATACGGACATGTCGGAGCAAAACGGATGCTGCAAAGAGGTCTCGCCGTCGGTGTCGATGTGACACCACTGACAGTTCACGACGCCCAGGCAGTCCCGTTCTGTTATGTACGACTTGCAGACGACGGACGGGCATGCTTTCAAATTCACTGGCTGGATCCACGGGGTCTGCAGACTCGAGCCTTGCTCGTACAATGGTAAGCAGGAATTTAGATCGTCGGTGCTTGGCTGCGTACAGCTGGAAGTGTACAACGAGCACTCGCAAGGACACTCACAGCCAGTTTGCTCCATGCTCTTGCAGTTTAGACACGAATGATCCATCTGTGGTATTAGAGTAATAAAAAAAGAAATACAAATCGAATAGTATCAGGCTCTCGAGACTTACAATCAAATGAAAATATAGAAAAGCCTGCAAGAACCGAATGTTGGTGCGAATAAATTAACGTGCAATAATGCGTAATGAATAAATTCTCCACGTAGATTTACTCGCACCGACATCCCGCGCTCAGTTCTTAAAAAAACAGAAATACATTATTTGAAATAACAGATAAAGAAATTCTGTGAGAGCGAAAACAAATTACCGAATCGCCGGAATTGCGGAAACTTACCGTGCTGCAGGGACAGAAGGCTCGAAGCTGGCTGCACTGTGCCGTTACATTGACAACTCCGATGAAGAGGTTGGTGCTTGGTACAGCGGCCACCTGATATTTAACACAGTGCTCGCCGTGCGCCATGTTTGTGAGCACCTCGTCGAGCGACGTATTGAACTGGTAGTATCGCTGCACCGTGCCGTCCAAGTGGCTGGCGCACGACTTCTTCTTCACAAACAGTCCGTGATTCAATATGTCGTTAGCAACCAGAAGCTCCTTGTGCGTCAGATGCTGCTGCTCGATCTTGCCTGTGGCCTCCAACAGCGCGGGATGAGACACCAGGTAGCCCTTGTCGTCCATCAGGAAGCACTTGACGGTCGCGTCGTTGCAGAACGGATACATGTCCGACAGCAGCCTCGCGACGTAGCTCATGGGAACGTCCATGGCCAGGACAGCGATGACGTAGTTCGCACTTTCGTTCCTCACCACGGAGACCTTCACGATTTGACTGAGAGTGATCACGTAGCCCGATCCGCCTGTGTCTAAATAAGGCGGGGTCAAGACCACTTTATCGGGATGCTCCAGCGCTTTCCCGTACCACATTCGTCTCTTGGGATCGAAACTAGAATCCAATATCAGTCCCGGGAATATCTCCAAAACGCCGCTGATCGCGCTGACGACATACCTGAAACGATTGAAAGAACGAGCAAGTTTAGGGCACAATTGTGAGCTATCAGTGTAATCGCGATGAAGTTGCGGACGTTCACCTTCGTATTACAAATTTATTCAGCGCACTCTCGGTGTGTTGCTTCTTGAAGTGTTCCAAGACTTGCGCCAGAGTCGCTACGTCCGGTTTTACAGTCGAATGCAAGCCGGGATTGGCTAAAAGACCTGTCAGATCCTTTATGTACGCCATGTAACTCTGCACAGTCACGGCTGAGCCGGTCTCCAACAATTTCAGTTGCTCCATCGGAGACTGAAAGCACCACGGTGACAGATAAACCACCCCCGTTGCTGGAAAGAAGAAAAAGAAAGGAAGAAAATCCCTTCACGTCTGCGGACGACAGCGAACAAATCAAACGATAATGTTTACTTCCTTACAATACGTTACAATTCTGTTTCTGTAGGCGCAGAGGGTGTCTTTGTTAACGATAGTTTGAAGCATAAGATCGAGACGGTGATGCAATATGTCCATTGGTAGCGAAGGCACAGTCTTGGCAACGGGCAATATTGCCTCTTCAGTCGTGGACACCAAACATATTATTAGGTCTTCGTAAATCAAATGTTTCCATTGATATCGTCTCTGTAAATCAGAGAATAATTTCCTTGCTCTATTAAGTTCTTTAGCTCGTATTCTGAACTCTCTTTTATCCATAAGTCCTAGTCTATGATAAGTGCTTTAAACCTTAAGAAATTGATCGATCACAGTCGAATGTGAAGAGAATAATTAACTGTGACTGATCAATTGCTTAAGGCTTAAAATACCTATTATAGACCTAAAAGTACCTTAAATATGTTTTCTCAGCCAACCAGGTGGTTCCTGAACTATTTTTAGAGGCATTTATACAGAAGAGAGTTCAAAAATACGGACTTCCGTCATAACGTTCGAAAGCACATTTGCTTACTTGCTCGCCCAATTTTGTTTCCACATTTAAGAACCCCTCGCTCTCGTTTATCATTTTCTTCACTTGTCGACCATCGATATTTTCAATATCTTGTAAATGCACTTTGAGCGGTTGCTCGTTTACAGTCTCGGTCCTGGGGAAATTCTTATGCATCCAAACCACACCTTTGCTGTCGAAGAGTATAGCATGTACGTTTGGGCCAGCATTAAAATATGTTATTTCATCGAGGACATCGCGCAATTTCACGTTTAAGGACAGCAATGCTACATTTGTGATCCTCCCAATGGACAGTGTCATCGTCTTGCTATACGGCTCAAAGTACGGGTCTGATATGTGATAATCTCTCTTGGGCTGATTAGGACATTGCAAGCAAGAAAATAGTTTTCCTATTTCATACCCGAGGACATTTTGCGTCGGGAGAACTATGACACTGTCATTGTTTAAGGGTTCTTTAATACCGAGGTGCGATTCTTGGTCTAAAAATAAAATCTAATTAAAAAAAAAAAGTACCTTTCTCATGCACGATTGTGAAAAGGAAAGTGATAAATCCAATTTACCTGGAAGAATAAGTATTGTCCTGATGTGAATCTTGGACGTTCTCGAAATTATTTCGGAAAGTCCTTGCACATTCGATGCGTTTTTGAACTTATTAGTCAAGTGTATAATAACTACTTCACCCTTTAAATTTTGCGTCATCCTTCTGGTGAATATTTCCGACAGAAAGTCAGTATCCATCGTCTGATTAACATCTAAACAAACGTTAAGATCGGTATATATTTTTTGGACATACACAATGTATGTACTTAACTAATACTATAATAATACAATCTTGATTACCTATTCTGACTAAACCATCGATATAACGAGCTAATTGGAACTTGTTGATATCTGTCGCCTTCAACAAGCCATCTTTGCAATACAAGGGAACAGCATTGGCAAGGCTAACAACTGCTACATTATCAGTCTCAGACAACATATCTATGATAGTTTTGGCTGCCATTTGAGTCAAAGCAAAATCAGTTTCAGACATGAATGTGCTGTGCTCCAAAAGTAGAATGACATTCTTCTCAGTGCAATACTGAGATAACACGAGAGGGCCGATGTTGTGCGCCAATGTGGGAGGTCCGCAAATTGTGTCAGGCTGGCGTATCAGCAGCACATGCAAGTTTTTCCACTCCTGACACCTTGTCGCACCATCTGTCGCAAGTGCTGCAATTATAATTATATGTGTGAGATACTGTAATTATATCGCCTGATGATTAATTAGTCTGTTCTTTTAAAACTGGTTGCACTTCAAGAAATTCAAGAGAAATTCAAAAGATTCAAGAAATATGCATACACACTGAAACTTATATATGAAATTCTCATGCTTCAATGTATGTAAATTCTTTAAATAGAAATTTCCAAGAAAAGTTCAAGAAATTAATGCACATTGAGGTATGAAAATTCCATGAGCTCCAATGTGTATATATATTTCTCAAAGCAGTGGAGCTAGTTCAGCTAAAAAAGAACAGATCAAACAAGAAGTACCTGTTATGAGCCGAGTACACATATCGGAAACTCTATCCTGCATGATATTTAGGCTGGCTATTTGACTAGAAAAAATAGAATGATCCTGTGTCTCGGACAGGACAGATTGTATCACGTCGTAGCTCTGCACGAGAAAGTCACTGTACATCCTAAGCTTGTTGTTCAGCTTGTCCACCAACAGGCTCAGCTTCGTGCCGGATATTTGCGTGAACTCCATCTTGTCTATCGTCTCCTGGAAGGAGGACACACCGAGCTCCTCGTCGACGATGGAGCGCAGTTTCTCGGACACCTGCGCGGCAACGTCTCGCAGACACACGCCGTTCAAGGGCTCCGCCGGCACCTGCTTGCGCATAGGCTTGCCGAATTGACACCTGACGGTACCGTTGGCGGTGTCGTGGGCGGCCACGTACAGGCCCATCAGTATCAGCAGCCTCAGGGCCAAGTACGGGATCCCGTTTACAGCCATTCCGGCGACGTTACGACGACGCTACCACGGACGCTGCCGAACACCACTCTTTTCGCCGTGAACCTCACGAATTCGCCGTAATGTCGCAACGATGACGAGTCATGCCGACGATGGTCGTGCATCTGCGATGCGGCAGAAAGGTCGCGCAACTTCGCCGCTCTGCGATGCACGAAGTTTGTTTACCGGAAAGACCGCATACGCCAAGAATCGTTCGGTTTTCGTACAAAGGTGGGACGCGGAGCACGAAGCGTGTACGTTTAGGCGTAAAGTCAACATTTGAATCAATCGTTGCTCCAGCGCCACCTCGTGTCGCGACTCGCAAGTAACTTCCGTTAAGCCCCGTATCAGATTACGGATTAGGGATTGAGATTGAATTGAATTTAGCCAATCAGTGCAAAATTAACTGAACTCAAGTTTAGTGAAGTTTAGTGAACTTTGCACTGGTTGGTTAAATTGCAATCCAATCTCAATCCTAATCCGTGGTTTGATAGACAGGCATTAGGCCCGTTTCCACGGGGCGATTCGAGGACTAACAATTGTTCACTCTCGCATCGTGAAGTCCCGTCATCGCGGACAATTGTAAAAGAATTTTCTAACCGATAGATCGCCCACTTATCGTCGCAAAATAGCCAATCACAGTGTTCCTACCCGAAGCAATCCGTGTCCGATTGCAACGTGGTCGAGCGAGTGCCATTCGCAATCTGCGAACTGCCACCTACTGCCATCTGCAGACAATTTCGCGTGGTACTTATCTCTGCCTGCTGTTTTGAGCCACCATTTTGAACCAAGATGGACGTACATTGGATGAAGATGGTGTATTCTTCTTTAAAAAAAAAGCTTTTCTCTTCGCGTTATTAAATGTTTATGACTAGGGAGAGTTTAACGCTTGTATCTCAAAGCAAAACGGACAAATTATAATGGTCGTAAGTTCTCAAGATATCTGTCATTTTCTTCAGTTTTGTGCTTTTATCAGAAGAAGACCTAACTTGAAGAAGTAGAAATCAATTGTTTTGATTCGCGTGCGATCACGTTGTTGTTTAGCATTGCATTCAATGCCAAACGTGGCTTTCGAGTTTATTTGTTTAATTTAAAAGTTGCATTCGATGTAAACAGAGAATGAAAATCACATATGTAACGAATATAATGAATATTACATAGCTACCGGGGAAAAAAGATGATATATGAAATTTGAATATGAATATATAATTATATATATCCACAATGGAAAAAAAACCGTTGTTCACAAATTATATGCAAATACAATCGAAGTAAATGCTTTTGATAAGATATAATATCGACATTTAATTAAATGACATATCATTTTTATTGTATGGATATATGATCATATGTATAACCACATATATGGGTAAAATTCATATATCATTTTATATAATTATATATAATCATTTTTTCCCGGGTATATTTTCAAACTTTTATTTTCTGTTCAGAAGAGAGTAATTTAAGAAATAAAAGCTGCGACATTAGAATTCAATACAATTGAAAATTGTCAAATCGTGATAAATCCAACGATAATTTTTTGTCGCACTAAACGCAATGTTATTTATGCTATATATACGCATAAGCAATCATAAGAATACATGTTCTCATACTGAGAATGTGTAACATAAATCAATTGACGGACATACTTGATTGTAGTTTATATGGATGAGTAGTCGAAGCCAATAAAAGTTGGAAGTTTTGATTTGTTAAACGTCCGGCTTGACACCGCGATATGTTAAAACATCATCAGTCAGTATCGGTAGGAATTCTTCGGCCGATTAAAGACGCATCAATGTCACGCATTCCTGCGATCACATTCAACGCTTCAATATTAAACAATCGAAACTGCTCCACTTCCAATTTCTTTTTGCTTTCCATAAATATTACATATATGGTATGCACACGCGTTACAAGTACCATTGATCCGTTTAAACATTGTAAAATGCATTTCCCAAAAATTACGAACACATCGTGAGAATTCTGAATATCATTACATGAAAAACGGATGTACTCCATATCTAATCCTAAATTAAATCCTGTTAAAAAAGAAAAATTCAAGTTTTAGGAATAAATTTTACATGAGTTTCACGAGAGATACATTTTTCTCTTTACAGACATGTTAATTCCCGAAAGCGTCGTTGTCACGCAATCCGTTATTCTGCTGCGTTTTCCAAGAATCGCCGCGGAGCGTGCTTCATCCCCGTGAAAATTCTGAGCAGCAAGATGGTAAGCGGCGTGGTTCCCGCGCCACTTCCCGCACATCCTCTTGTCATTTGGGATGCTCCCCTCTGCGGTGCCTAATGTCATCAACCAATTACGCCGCGCGACACACAAAACATATTAGTATTTTCGAAATATTACGACTCGAAGCACATGCAACGTGTTCATCGAACAGCTGGATTCGCTAAACAGCGTGCAAAAAATGAACCCAAATTTACACGTCGTGATAAATCGATCAAGTACTTCCTATACCGCTTTATTCTTATGTGCATTTTTTTTACAATCAGTAGTTTTCACAGTTGAAACTTCGAGATTCTTTTATTTTTATTTCCAATGTTTTTCACATTCTTTTTACGCAGTCTCGAAAGTAGATTTGATGAGTTTCGAAAGCATCGCACAGAAAATAATTTCCAACTAGCGACGTTCGAAGTCACCCGGACAACATAACGTCTAAAGTCGGGATATAAGACGTCTTAAGGATATCTTTCATATGTTTTAGACGTTATATTGTCTGGGCGACTTCGCAACGCACTGCCGAACTTCAAATTAATCTGATCGTCGCTTTGCGAAAATTTATACGACCCATCTGATGGCCGCAAGAATTGGATATTTGTACGACGAGGCGTAACAAATAGGAAACGGGCGAAGCGGAATTGGATAAGACCGATCGAGGCGATTGCAAGTTGCATTTAATTTCGCGAGCCGAAAAAACCGCACGCTGACAAACGCTCCGACGCGAATTTTATGGCTCTGCGTTATCAATCCAGACTCTCCTCATGACCTATACAACGGACTGTACCCAGAACGGATGCGGGGACGGATCGGTGTCACGTGAACCCTCCGGATATACCAGCTTCCTAGTCTTGCTCACCTACTTTATCGCCATTTCGTTTCATCGGAAACGTTCGGAAATCGGCCGTGGCGGGAAAACGCGGCGGACGTTGCCGAAATGCTCGCCCGCTATTTTCTCCATTGCCGAGAGCGTTCTCGCACTGACTAACGTTTTAACCACTTTTGCACCTGCCTCACTCAACCAATCCCACGTGGCTTCGTCTCGAAATTTATTTAAATCTTACCGATAAACGTTAGATGTTTCTCCTCGTAATTTCTCTCTGCGCAATTACGGAAACAAAAAATATCGTAATTGGATTTTAGAAATATCGCAACTATTTTTCAGAATAAGAATATTATGACCTGCATTATATAATTTTCCGTCTCTCTCGAATAAGTTATTGATTAAAATTTAATTATATAAAAATGTCTCGAGATTTATCTCAATATGCAATAATTGTCCATGGGGAGTTATTTATAATCGTATTTTTTACAGAATAATACCAGAACGGAGAGATTAAGAAAAAGAATTTCGGTAGGACTTTTCTGGGCGCATTTATTCAAAGATTGACCGATTATGACATTGGTAATGAAGGAGTGATAATGAGGTAGTTTCGATGATTTTTAATTTTCCATGAAATCACTGACAATCCGTGTACGCGAATGTTCATTAATCCGGCGTAAGATCTTCGGTAATGCGACGATAATGGAAAGAATTTGTTCCATAATTACGTAATAAGTGCGCTACGTTTTATTTTCACGTTAATAACGTTTTTATTTTTAATTCAGGTTAATGGTCCAAAAACTTGGATGTTCTTTTCGTTGATCGCCAGATGAAGAGATTGGATTAGATTACAATCGAGAGTTCCGACGATTGCAAACACGACGAATTCGTGAAATTATTTTCAGAAAAGTTACCACCGTTGTTTCGAACGCGAACACCTAAATGTGACAAATTTTAAATATCACGGATCGTACTCTAATGAAAAGGCACCTCCCCCTCCATCGTCATCGTTTGCGACGCGGTCATTCAAGACCTGAAATCCGAATTCCAAATCTTCTACTCTTCCGGTACCCTTCCGGTACGGTAAAACTTGCCCACGAAGAGCCAGAATTCGTGCATACCGGAAGATTTTCACGAGGTGACGGCGGGCTATGACATCGAAGGGAATCGCGAGATGTAAGGCTTCTCGGGGACAGAATCGAAAAGGCGGGAATCCGAAAGAGCGAGAGAAAAAAAAAATGTGGCCACGCGAAAGAGAAAGGAAGGGACGGCGTTAGAGGGAGGCAGAGAGATAGATGTCAACTTGATGATGATATACTATTGCGATCTTGGTGACCCCCTTTCTTCTCTCCTCCGTCACCTTCTGTCCCTCCCTCTCTCTGGCCTCTCTCTCTCTCTCTCTCTCTCTCTCTCTCTCTCTCTCTCTCTCTCTCGCTCTTTCTCACTCATCAGTAGCGTATGTACCAACAGATAACACGTATCGTAGATGTCGGGGGCGGCGGAAGGCGTAAGGGCGCGGAGGCGCAGGCAGCTTGGCGGCGGCGACGGCGGCGGCGGGGGAAAAGGGAAAAAGGGGGAACCCCCGATTTTCTTCCTGTACCAACGATTTCAGTTACTGCCGGCTGACGCGGCGCACACGGAAGACCTGGCACGGGAGACCGATCGCGGACCGATTACAGTATCCCGCGGGCAACACTCGCGTTAGCAACCCGTAGAGTCGCTTCTCCGCAAGTCTTCTCGGACTTTACCTCGGTGGGACCCGCGTGTTCAGTCAGTACCCGCAGTAGGCAATCACGGACGATCGCCGCTGATCCGCGTGCACCATCGTGTCGAGATCGTCTGTCCGGAGGACCATCACTGGCGATTCCGGGATTTCACGGCTGGAGCACCGAGACTCCAAGATCAAGCGCGCTGAATTCTCGCTGCTCGATCACCAGCCGAGGATCCAGGAAGGATCTCTGCGGAGAGAGCCGAGATTGTCGGCACTGAGGTGCCGAGATCCGAGGGTCCGAGGAGGAGAAGGATACAATATCGCTCCGCCGGCGGCGAGCGCGAAACTACGCCTCGCGCGACCATCAAGAGTGCTCGCAGGAAGTGCAGTGTGTAAAAACAAATCAGACTTATTCCGCTCATCGACGACGAGGTGCCGTCGCGCTGTCGCAGATCGGCTCGCTCTCCGTCTCGCGGCTGTCTCAAAGGCGCCGGACGCTTCCACATGAAGTTCCATCGTCGGATCTAATGAGGTTCGTAGAGGTCGTGCTGAAACACCGCGAATGGTACGACGGGGAGAGACGTATCGGGAGTTCCTTTAGTTCGAAATTAAGCGAGGATTTTCTTTAAATTCGTTAAACGATCAATCAATTAACAGTAGATTGCGTTCCATTGAACGCATATCCTCGGAGCGGGCCGCGGAAAGTTAGATTCGATCGCGCGGCATAAATCGAGAGATAAGTAAAGTCAGCGATTATTAGACTAATTCGGCGTAATCGAAGCGTGCTGATTTAACGGAACTGACGCATTAACAGTAGACTAACGTATTACAAGCGGCGTTATAATGCAAAATACGTCGTCGTCTGAGCTCAATCAGCACTCCGACTTAAGTTAAGGCGTTGAATCATTCGGATGTCACGTGGTTCTCGAGCGATTTCACTGTCGAGCAGACAGTGGTACCGAGGTACTGCACGTGCCCTAGGATACTTCAAACTGTCAAGTCTGACCCTCCAATGTCACGTGTTCGCGATCTCGACTCAATCTCGATCCGCGCGCGACACCAGTCTTTTGTGGAAAAAGAGGCTTACATTTTCACGGCTTCGGAAAATTCGCTGCTCGCGTTGTGTTCCGACCCAGACAGCACGAAACCTAAAACTGAGACGTAAAACGTCTATAAGACATCTCAAAGACATTTTATAGACATCTCACTTAAAGACATCTTACTTTAAGATATCTTGAAGACGTCCTATGTCCCGATATGTTAGGTTTTGTGCTGTTTGGAGGGATTCTTCTCTTCTTTTTCCGGCGAATCGCCGATAATCGCGACGCGGTGGGACGGCGATGAAAATCTCGGTGCGTCGGTCGCAACACGCGGAACGACACATCCTCGGCTAATTAGAATATAGCTGTTTTTTATGAGCGTGGAAGAGGAAGAGGGAGCCGAGATGGGTAGCGGTGGTGGGAAGGGAGGAGCAAGGAAACACGCACCATCGCAATATTTATTATACGGATCCCCCTGCCGGACATTCGTATTTAACGGGCCGCACCAATGGCGTCCACCCCACCTCCTTCTGCCTGCTCGGAGGATACCTTGCTGCTCTTCTTACAGGATTCCGCGTCTCCGTTGACCCTGCGAACTCGTTGCTCGTTGCATTCATTCGTTCGTTCGTTCGATCGCTCGAAACTGTACATCGACGTGCCGCGTTCGCAATTCGAGAAACGCATTCGACAAATTCAAAAATTGTTAGAAGTCATTTTGGAAGATACACACTTTTAAATGCTAATAGCCGGAGCCGTAGTAGTGAAATTCAAAACAATCGATACTTTTAATACCGGCTGATACTTTCCAAGTAGATAATTTGAGACGAAAATCAACAGCGATTATCGTTGCAACTGCTTATTATTTTTGATAGATTGTTTACTTTTTATCGACACACGCGTGCTTGTCTCAAATTATAATTGACTATTGAAGATACGTGTTTTCTCACACAACTTGAAATTGATGGATGAGGCTGAAAGAATAATTTGATATGTGGTTCTAATATTATTATAGTATTTTTCCCTATAGACGCGGAGTACTCAATTTCTCCAAATGACTCGAAATAATTCCCGTTGACATAAATGTCGCATTTCTTAGAGTTTATTTTCTTCTATCGATATTTGCGCGTCACTTTTTATCGTCGCGACATCGGAAACGTAAATTCGCGTATACGCGCAACGTAAAATCAATGTATGCATCACGATCGGTCAATATTTAGGTTCGAGCTATTAACTGACGATTTATGCGCGACCGCAAACTTGATTTCAGTATCTTGACTTATCGTGAATCAGACGAGGTCCTTTAACGAGAATCATTGAGACGAAATGCGCACAGCCTAATTATCTAATAAAAGAACGCGTACTCTTAGCCAGTCGCTCACAATAGTCCGTTTTAATGCTCGCGACAATCAGCCTGCTTTTCACCTCTTCTGGCGGCTCTTCGAGCCCTGCTCGTCTTTGACCCGAACGCTTAATCGCTTTCCGCAGATCTTCCGGGCCACAGAAAGCGGGAGGAACGCATCCGTAGCTCCGGGATGAGAAGGTCGAAACGTTTCGGGAAACGGAAAAGACGGCAACCCCAATGCTGCAATTTGAGAACTTTACCTGAGCGTTCGGATGATGATGCTACGATATTTCGCGTTCCACGCGTGCAGGATTAGCTGCGAGAATTTTCGTCGCTTTTAACTGTATTCGTACGAATGAAGTTCTTTTCTGTGTACTTGAGCTTAAAACGCATTCTTCGTCTCAATCGACGCTTACACGGGAAAAAATGATTATATATGATTATATATATTTATATAAAATCATATATGAATTTTGTCCATATATGTGGTTACATATATGATCATATAATGTCCATAAAAATGATGTCATTTAATTAAATGTCGATATCACGTGCTGTCGGAAGCACAAGTAGCCAAAAGCATTTATTTCGATTGTATTTGCATATAATTTGCATATAATTTGCATATAATTTGTAAACAACAATATTTTCTCGTTATGGACGTATATGATTATATGTAAATATATGGGCAAATTTCATATATGATCTTTTTTTCCCGGGTGTGTATTTTTGTTATTGAAAAATGTCCAGGATTTTTCTCAAACTGTGTGTCTCTGTCTGCCTGCAATTCGTAATACTCGCTCCCACAGGTACTGTGTTATGTCTCACAATCACTTTCGCGTTTGAAACGACGCTAGTCGACAATCGGCCGGAGTGCGCGCACGAGTAAGGAACATCGAGAGAGAGAGATTACGAGTGGGCCCTCCACGAAAGCCCACAAACATGACAGAGACATCACGGGATCCTGAAGTGGCTGATTCAGAAAATCCCGACAACGGTAGGACAGCATTGAATCTGACTTGCTCGACGACTAATAAGAGCAAACCTCTTCCGGATCGCGGAACATGGAGCACCAAATTGGACTTCATCCTCAGTGTGGTAATGCATTATTGTTAATGTTTTAAAAACCTGATTTTCCTCATTTTTCCGTGAATTTCTTCGGTTTCTGTTTTAAGGGTACGAAAATTCGTTTAGAAAAATTCACATTCGGTTAAATCCTGCCACAATTTTTAATTTTTATTTTTTCCGCAAGAAGGCAAGAAACTAAAAAAATCCGCAGAAAATTTAGGAGAAACGTTTTTTTTTCTAAAACTTCAAAATTATAGTTGTTATTATCAAATATATAACATCTGTATACATCTGGAAAATATAACACAACTGCTTTGACTTCAAGTGTCGACGAAGCAATGTATCATACAAACAATGTTCAAAAATACTTTTGTGATACTAAATCGAATGAGATAATAAGTTAAGAAATGCTTACAATTTTCACAGGTATATATTTCACAAGCATATATTTTTACATATAAATATAATTTTCCATACAATAATTTCACGTACAATTATAATTTTTAACATTTTTACAATTCCAGCTTTTATAAATCGTCTTATGTTCCACTAATACTTTGTATGTGCGTAGAAAAAATTATCACTTGCTTTACTTGATTTGGCTTTCGAGTTAAACGCCACGTCTCTCGCGGATTAATTTACTTCTTCAAGATGAGGAACGACCCAAAACTAAAATAGCCTGAAGAGCTGAAAATATCAGAATGTCGTTTACTTTGCGATTGTGCTGTAACATTTGCCACTTCTTCAAGGTCGGCTTGGCGATCGGTCTCGGCAACGTCTGGCGATTTCCGTACCTCTGCTATAAGAATGGCGGTGGTGCCTTCCTCATCCCTTATTTCTTGACGTTGTTCCTCGCTGGTATACCCATGTTCTTCATGGAACTGGCCCTCGGTCAAATGCTCACGGTGGGCGGCCTCGGAGTCTTCAAGATAGCTCCCCTCTTCAAGGGTATCGGTTACGCCGCGGCCGTCATGTCCTGCTGGATGAACGTCTACTACATCGTCATTCTGGCTTGGGCGATTTTCTATTTTTTCATGTCGATGCGCAGCGGTGAGTGCATTGTGACTGATCCATTATCGTCTCGGCTGTCTTGCGAATAATTTTCCGGTTCTCCATATAAGATCGTGATGATGACGAAGATAAAAAGTATTCATTGAACGTTACGTGATATGATTCTCGCACCGCTCGTAGAGCTGCCCTGGGGAAGCTGCAACAACTACTGGAACACCAAGAACTGCGTGAATCCTTACGACAGAAGCTCGTTGATCTGCTGGCAGATCTCGACGAGAAACCACAGCGTCGTCAAAATGTGCACGGTCAATCAGCTTAACCTGACGGTGACCGAGCTGACGGATCCTGTGAAGGAGTTTTGGGAGTCAGTATGAATACAATTTTTTCATTTTTCTTTTCTCTCGAGTGAGTTAGGCTAGACGCGTGCATTTCGTGATTTTCCTGTGCTCGCATCAAAATTGTGCAATTGCTGTCGAATCGTCGCGCTTTTACGCATTATTCGTCCGTGACAAACTCTACGACCGTTTCTATCCCTCCAGACGTCGAGCGTTGCAGATCAGCGAGGGCGTGGAACACGTGGGCAACATCCGATGGGAATTGGCGGGCACGCTGTTACTGGTGTGGATACTCTGTTACTTTTGCATCTGGAAGGGCGTCAAGTGGACCGGCAAAGTCGTTTACTTCACCTCTCTCTTCCCATACGTGCTGCTTACCATTCTCCTGATCCGCGGCATTACACTGCCCGGCGCGATGGAGGGCATTCGCTTCTATATCAGTCCAAACCTGTCCAAGCTCCGGGAATCCGAAGTAAACTCACTTATTTTTCTTCGCATATTGACTCTTTAGATCCTCTCCGATCAACGGACTGTCCTCTACAAATCTTATTGAATTTTAATTGCTATTTATGGGGGACGGTCCCGTGCCAACGAATACACACAGAGAAAAAGAAGTCAGTTACCGCAACAGAATAATAAGGACCAGATGAAAATTCAAAGAGATGAAACTCAGCGACAAGAAGTGATGACTCTTATCGTAATGGAAAACATTTGCGTGAACGTTCAGCTGCATTAAAACTCGGTCAAGATAACTGAGAACAAGTGATTAAGTAGAAAACTCCTACAGGAATCTTTCGGTTCTTACGACTGAATTTTCGTCTGGTCCTCAGGCAACGGAAAATTTAGTTACACCAATGAAATTGTTTTTCGTGTACACTCAGCAACAATAAACCAACTTTACTTTTGTCTTGAGATGTTGTAAATGATTTCCTGTGGATTTTTGGCCGTTAAACATAAATTTGAACCCAGAATGTTTCTATCACGTCAGGATTGTGAGAAAACTGCTATTAAAGTTACTAAAAATCGCAATTTTAGCATTTTTCGATAATTAATAATTCTGTACTGCAATGTGCTACAAATTTCCGTAAGTTTTTAAACGAAAGATTTAAATTACTGCAGGAAAATAATAGATCGAACAAATGTAAATTCAATTTTTTAAAATTCAAAGTGGCGGATTTAATATGACGGAGGAAATTTCAGAAATTTGTAAAATTAAATTGTTTATATTAGAAAATGTGTAATTGGCATATTTTAAAGTCTCTAATGAATATAAATTTGAAATTTCGAAATTCAAATTCGACGATACCAAATGTGGAAAATAAAAATTTCATAAAACAGTAATATTTTGATGTTACTAACGTACTAACCTTTAAATTGTTTTTTTCTGGATAATTTTTTTTAGTATATAGTATTGAGAATTTATTTAATAAATTTATATATAATTCATCTTATTGCATAAAATGAATAATAATATTTAGTTTCAACTTTTAGTTTTAAACCTTATGGGAGTTTATAGCACATCTTAATTCAGAGTCATTAATTATCAAAAAATTCTAAAATTGCGATTTTTTAGCAATTTTAATAGCAAATTCCTCAAAATTCTGTTGTGATAGAGACATTCTGCGCCCAGGTTTGTATTTAACAGCCAATACATAAGAAATGATTTATTAAACCTCAAAGCAATGTTGTGTTGCTCGGTTTTATTTGACAACTGGAATATTTTGGGGAAATTTTAAGGATATTCGCGCGCGCGAGATATATTCTGTTACGTTATTATGATCTGCGAAAAAAAAAACTGTTGCGTATACGTACAAACGAATTTCCAGGTGTGGATCGACGCAGTGACGCAGATCTTCTTCTCATACGGTCTCGGCCTCGGCACCCTCGTGGCCCTCGGCAGCTACAACAAATTCACCAATAATGTTTACAAAGACGCGCTGATAGTCTGCTCGGTGAATTCATCCACCAGTATGTTCGCAGGCTTCGTGATATTCTCGGTGGTGGGTTTCATGGCGCACGAGCAGCAGAAGCCGGTCGCCGAAGTAGCCGCTTCTGGGCCGGGTTTGGCTTTCCTCGCTTATCCCTCGGCGGTCCTTCAATTACCAGGCGCACCGCTCTGGTCGTGCTTGTTCTTCTTCATGTTACTGCTCATCGGACTTGATTCCCAATTCTGCACCATGGAGGGCTTCATCACGGCCATGGTACTTTCTTAAAGGGCGTGATAGCTCTGCTTTCTACACACAATGCTACTCATTTAATTATTTGACACACACACACATGAATGAACGAATTGGAATTAATCGATCGATCACCTTTCCAGGTGGACGAGTGGCCTCAACTGTTACGTCGCCGCAAAGAGCTCTTTATTGCCATAGTATGCGCCCTGTCCTATCTGATCGGATTGTCGTGCATCTCTCAAGGTGGCATGTACGTCTTCCAGATTCTCGACTCGTACGCCGTCTCCGGCTTCTGCCTGCTGTTCCTCATCTTCTTCGAGTGCATATCGATCAGCTGGGCGTTCGGCGTGAATCGGTTTTACGACGCTTTGCGCGATATGATAGGATATTATCCTCTTACGTGGTGGAAATTCTGCTGGACGGTGACCACGCCGATGATCTGCGTTGTAAGTACAATATGCAATGTTTTGTCTCGGTAGATTTAAAGGAGGATCAAGTACTGCAAGTGGGTTATTTTTCTTTTTCGCTTTTAACGGACTTCGACTTTTAAAAACACCAAGCTGCTCTTTTAATATCTTTAAATCCTTCTTGAGATAATTAACGGCACAGTAATGATGCATCGAGATTACAGTAAATGGTAAAAATTCCTTTGAACGCGGAATTTTCTTGAGTCTATGAAAGTTCTAAACTTTCAACTAATCTATGAAAATACAAAGCTTTTTCATTTTACACCAAATGAACCTTATTCTCTTTAACAGAATTTTAACTGACGATTCATTCATGAAAATATATATATATATATAATTTGATGGTTAAAATTACCCGGGAAAAAAAGATTATATATGAAATTTGCCCATATGTAATATAGTAGATATGATCATACCAGGTGTATGCATAAGTTTTTTCCGGTTTTACTAAGAGATGGCGCCAGCGAAAAGTACGCAGCGTATTAATTTGACACATACGTCATTTTGTTCGTCTGACATTTAAAACTACAAACACACACAAGTTGATTCCGCCAAAAACTAGTGTCTTTGTTTTATCGTTCAGTGATCATGTCGAGTTTTGTGCCTGAAAAAGAACATTTGCGGCACGCATTGCTTTTCTTATTTAATCAAAAGAAAAAGGCTGTTGAAAGTCATCGTTTGCTGGTAGAAACATATGGTGAACACGCTCCATCGATTAGAACATGTGAGACATGGTTTCGACAATTTAAAAATGGTGATTTCAATGTGAAAGACAGTGAGCGCTCTGGTAGACCACAAAAATGCGAAGACGAGCAATTGCAGGAGTTATTGGATGATGACCCAACTCAAACTCAACGGCAATTAGCAGAAGCATTACATGTATCACAAGAAACAATCAGCAGACGTTTACGAGCAATGGGAAAGATCAATAAACTCGGTAAATGGGTCCCACACAATTTGAATGAACGTCAAATGGAAAATCGCAAAGTCACTTGTGAAATGCTGCTTCAACGCCACGAAAGGAAATCATTTTTGTATCGAATTGTGACGGGTGACGAAAAATGGATTTATTTTGAAAACCCGAAGCGGAAAAAATCGTGGCTTTCACCTGGCGAAGCCGGTCCATCAACACCAAGGCCAAATCGCTTCGGCAAGAAGACCATGCTCTGTGTCTGGTGGGACCAGAGCGGTATTGTGTATTATGAACTCTTGAAGCCCGGCGAAACCGTTAATACACAACGCTATCGCCAACAAATGATTAATTTAAACCACGCATTAATCGAAAGACGACCGGAATGGGCCAGAAGACATGGCAAAGTGATTTTGTTACACGACAATGCGCCGTCTCACACAGCAAAACCAGTGAAAGACACCTTGAAATCGCTTGGATGGGATATCCTTTTGCACCCGCCTTACTCCCCAGACCTGGCGCCATCTGACTATCACCTCTTCGCATCAATGGGGCACGCGCTCGCAGAGCAGCACTTCAGCAATTTCGAGGAAGTTGGAAAATGGCTCGACGAATGGTTTGCCGCAAAAGACAAGCAGTTTTTCTGGCATGGTATTCATAAATTATCTGAAAGATGGGCGAAATGTGTAGAAGCCGATTGCCAATATTTTGAATTAAAAAAAAATTAATTTCCCTTGAAAATTACGTGTTTTTTTTCCAAAAAACCGGAAAAAACTTATGCATACACCTGGTATATGTCCATAGCAAAAAAATACTGTTGTTATGTGCAAATACAGTCGAAATAAATGCCTCTGGCTACTTGTGTTTCTGACAGCACATGATATCGACATTTAATTAAATGACAAAGCATCATTTTTTTCGTATAGACATATATGTAACCACATGTATGAGCAAAATTCACATATGATTTTATATAATTATATATAATCATATATAATCATATATAATCATATATAATCATTTTTTTCCCGGGTAGGGCGTGTTCGTCTTCAACTTGGTTCAGTGGACACCCGTGAAGTATTTGGACTATGAATATCCCTGGTGGTCGCATATATTAGGCTGGTTCACGGCGCTATCCTCTATGCTCTGTATACCCGGATACATGGTCTACGCTTGGATGACTACGCCGGGCGACAATAGTACGGTAAGTGTGAACAACCTCATGATCGCTCGGCGGAAATTAGCTCACGACATTTTTTCATATTCTCTCTTCTAGAAATACAAATTGCTGATCCAAATAGAGGATGATGTCGCGACTCTACGGACGAAGATGGGTCAGCCGCCGGTCGAACTATCGCCCCTATAATTTTTGCTTCGATCGGCAGCAAGCTCGTATAGTTCGATGATATAGTTGTCTATCATGACCTTGTAAGAACGGGTGGGAACAGGAATTTATTCTGTAAAGTCGTGAACTCTCGAGCTCTGAAGATTGGAGAGTAACCCGGAGATTTTCAAATCGCTTCCATTCTTATTCCGTTCTTTCGTACACATTTTCAATTCCCTTGACGAAACTGAATTATTCAATTTCTTTAATCAGAATCATGTACATTAGATACTTAATTGTATCGCTATGTATCATTCCGCCGAAAAATTAACAGATTATTTATACAAGGTTCAGAAGAATACGAAGTAAGTGCTGGATCATGCTGGACAGGAATAGAAGCGATCCGATCGTTTCTAAACCGACTTCCGGCGTGGGAGACTCGGAATATGATTTTAGAGAACGAATTCCTGTCAGTTCCCCAGAGTCTTGCTGTTTGCAAGATACGATCACGCGGCCGCGATAGGTCCGTCGAAGTCCGTCGTGTCCTTGATTGACGCGCGACTCGACGCGAGGCGGAGAGCCAGCAATCAAATGAATGCCGGAAACGTGCCCGACACTGCCCTCGGCCTCCCACACCCTCTCGAAAAAGAAAAAGCTTCGCTGGCTTTGTACATAAATTATTTATTTGTCATCGTAGCGATATTATCGTTAATCTGTCCGCGCACATCGCGACAGCTCTAGAGGTGGTTCGCACTTACGTGTCACGTACTTTCGTGCCAGTTTAATGTCGCATCACGCGCTAAGTGCAGCCACGTCTGCCCTCGAAGATGTATCGTAAAACTCGTCAAACTCGAAGCAAACCGTCATAGGTGAGACCGCCGAATCTGGCGCCGTCGAAACGCGCACCAAGAGAACCGAATTCCTCACGACACCTGCTGGTATCGAACTTGACGATTCGATCGTAGGATTCGATTCGAAGGGACTTCCACCAGGCTTCCTTCCTTCCGCAACATGTAATTCTATCGTCATCGCGAGAGTTGTCGCTAGCGCGTTGCAAGTACAACAACAACGTAGCTGTTAGTCGTAAATTGAAAGCCGCCGTTGAAAAGCGACGGCCGAGTTTTCCATCGCCGCTCACGAGCGGTTCGTATCGTATAAATGTACCGGGTGCTCTCCGGGTCCGCTATCCAGTAAGCAAGAAACATTAACAACGATCTTTTCAAATCAAAACATCGATTTTATGTGGATTTTATTAATATTTTAACATCATATTTTATCAACGTTTTTTAAACTGTTACTTGATAATAAACTTTTAAATATTAAAATTATGATGTGTAGAAACATCATTTTTTATGTTTCGGTCAAATATTGTCAACAGTAACGTTGTACATAACATTAAGAACTACATATTTGAAAACATTACATGGTTTAAAATATCATTGTAATAACTTTATGTTAACGGTTCCTCGCTTACTGGGTATCCTGCCGTTCACGACGGAGCGGACGGTCCGGCCCTGTGTACGCATATTTATGCTGCCATAAATATTATAAATAGGCGTGTTTTATTATCGCATCGCTCTTATATTTAAATAGCTAGCTACCTAATTTATTTCGTGTACCTGTCGTTAGATCTGTGGCGTCGGCGGAGCAGTAGTAGCGAGGAAACACGCGACCAAGCGTTCGATGGAAACGTTGCACAGCATCGTAGTAAAATTACACGAGCGAGAAAGGCGTGAAACGAGTCCGAACACAAGCGACAATGGCGCGGGGGGATTCGAGTGAAATAGAAAAAATATAATTTCGATCTTGTTTATCGCCATTTGTACATAATACATCTCTCACTCGACGTTCGCACGAAATGTTCGCAGTGAAATGTATCGTACGCAAATATCGTATTAAATTTCCTTCACAACGTTATGGAATTATGTATTTTTTATTTCACTGTCGTGTGTCTGTAGCGTGAGACGCGACATAAAGTGTGTGTATACGTAAGCACACGCACACATGCGAATGACAAAAATATTGAAAGACATACGTTTGAACGCACCTCGTTGATTGCAGCGTAAGTTTAACGCTTAGTGCGCGATAATAGAGAGACGTGGTATATATATATATAATATAAATAGGAATGTCTATATAATATTGGAATTATTTATTGTTAGCGCTAACGATCCCGATTCACATTGTATTTTATTTTGTTTTACCGATAGTACAAACCAATAAAAATTTCAAGTGTACTAATGGTTAATGTAGATGATTAGATTTACATCATTTGATTGATAATAATTATATTTACATCATTGACATTATTTATATCATAGTACTCCATATTGCAAATATCGCAGCAATATTACTTTTTTATTGCAATATTATAATCTTGTTTTAGTTTTGTAATTTAGAATGACAGGAGATATCTTGCTTGGGATCTTTTATATCTGGAGCACAGAGCAAGGCGATTAGAACGCGAAATGGAAGGGCAAAATTGGCGTGACATACACGATCCATTTACGTAACGATGAACTTCAAAAGTTATACAGGTTAACTCCAGATATAGTCATAGAATTAACAGATGTTTCAAGACCATATTTGGAGCATCAGAGCTTAAGTTTGGAACATCAGGTTACATAGACGTCAGGTAACATAGATATTATTCTTTGCATTTATTTAATATTAGAAAGTAAAATTGGGATAATTATTTAGTTTAGCTACGCCAGCACAAATATAAGTGAAATGACACTTATTCGACGCGTTTTTACACTTAGTTTGTAACAATCAATTTCTTCAATTGAACATTCTATACAGTGCCTCCAATCCTCTTTCAGTGACTTTCTCACAGCCCGAGATGTTAAATTACTTCGGAAGCTCTGCTGATATTTTGTCTACGCCCCAGTCGTCGAATTGTTTACAATTCTTGAGGCTAAGCTACTTAAGATTTATGAGATTACACAGGTTATTCAGACCTTCGTAATGCAGATCAAACCCATTGACGTCTATTGCTTCGAGAATATAGTATGGTTCATAAGCATACATATATGGCCTTACAATACTTTTTCATGCAGTTTATCGCTTGGACGCATGCTTGTCGAACGCTCGCTGAAAACTTCATTTTCGGCTGGGAAGGGAGAAGGAAATTAAATAAAAATTATGAAGAAGGTAATAAATATTAAGAGAGTGGGAGAGACTTCACGAAAAAGAGTCGAGGTCTCCGAACGCATAGATAAACGTTCTCTCTCCATACAATCGCGCCTTCTTGTATAGGTAGAAGGAAACTTTGCCGCTTGAATCCGCTTGAATCTTCGTTCGCGTATGAAATGCATAATTTTCTGTGTTAGCATTGTTCATTCGACGATGAGTGGTCGTGTTGGTACGTGGAATCCTTCGTATAATTTCTGTGGGTAACGATACCATTAATAGAAGCTTCCAAGGATCTTACTGCTGCGCAAACGGGGGATATTGACAGTGATTGTATTTAAGGGTACAATGTTTATTACAATATCTCGGACTATTCATAAGTACTTAAATGTTCACTTTCCCATACAGTCATATACTTCATATGCAGAATTCGTTGCGCTCGTTTCATATACCATGCAATCGAACGATATGTTTCTCCACGACTTTAACGAACTCAAAGTCTTTAACGACACGATGGACAACATGGACATCATTAGGACCATAATTTCTAAGGAGAACCAAGAGGATTCTTTCTACATTGTGGACATCGGTGACATTATTAAGAAACATTACGAATGGATCACCAAGATGCCGAAAGTTGCCACGCACTATGGTATGTTCGTTATCCAAGCAGAACAAAAAGTTATATAAAAATCAAGATGACATCAAGATAACGTCAAGAAATAATCATTTATAGGAAATCATAGTATTGTCATTTAATATCTTAAGCGGGACGATAATTTGACATTTTCGTGACTGCATTGTAACTTGTCAACGACTTTCTTATTTACGGAGCATTGTAAGATGCCCGTAAATCCTCCACAATCAACTCTTTATATTTATTCTAACTCTTTATATTTATTCTAATAATTCTAT